AGACCCCATCCACCTGCAACCCCAGGGAGGCCCCGCACCACAGACCCCATCCAGTACTGCAACCCCAGGGAGGCCACGCACCACAGACCCCATCCAGTACTGCAACCCCAGGGAGGCCCCGCACCACCCACCCCATCCGGTACTGCAACCCCAGGGAGGCCCCGCACCACAGACCCCATCCGGTACTGCAACACCAGGCAGGCCCCGCACCACAGACCCCATCCAGTACTGCAACACCAGGGATGCCCCGCACCACAGACCCCATCCAGTACTGCAACCCCAGGGAGGCCCCGCACCACAGACCCCATCCAGTACTGCAACCCCAGGGAGGCCCTGCACCACCCACCCCATCCAGTACTGCAACCCCAGGGAGGCCCCGCACCACAGACCCCATCCGGTACTGCAACCCCAGGGAGGCCCCGCACCACAGACCCCATCCGGTACTGCAACCCCAGGGAGGCCCCGCACCACCCACCCCATCCAGTACTGCAACCCCAGGGAGGCCCCGCACCACAGACCCCATCCAGTACTGCAACCCCAGGGAGGCCCCGCACCACAGACCCCATCCAGTACTGCAACCCCAGGGAGGCCCTGCACCACCCACCCCATCCAGTACTGCAACCCCAGGGAGGCCCCGCACCACAGACCCCATCCGGTACTGCAACCCCAGGGAGGCCCTGCACCACAGACCCCATCCAGTACTGCAACCCCAGGGAGGCCCTGCACCACCCACCCCATCCAGTACTGCAACCCCAGGGAGGCCCCGCACCACAGACCCCATCCGGTACTGCAACACCAGGGAGGCCCCGCACCACAGACCCCATCCAGTACTGCAACCCCAGGGAGGCCCCGCACCACAGACCCCATCCAGTACTGCAACCCCAGGGAGGCCCTGCACCACCCACCCCATCCAGTACTGCAACCCCATGGAGGCCCCGCACCACAGACCCCATCCGGTACTGCAACCCCAGGGAGGCCCCGCACCACAGACCCCATCCAGTACTGCAACCCCAGGGAGGCCCCGCACCACCCACCCCATCCGCCTGCAACCCCAGGGAGGCCCTGCACCACAGACCCTATCCGCTGCAACCCCAGGGAGGCCCCGCACCAGAGACCCCATACGCCTGCAACCCCAGGGAGGTCCCGCACCACAGACCCCATCCACCTGCAACCCCAGGGAGGCCCCGCACCACAGACCCCATCCGGTACTGCAACCCCAGGGAGGCCCTGCACCACAGACCCCATCCAGTACTGCAACCCCAGGGAGGCCCCGCACCACAGACCCCATCCAGTACTGCAACCCCAGGGAGGCCCCGCACCACAGACCCCATCCAGTACTGCAACCCCAGGGAGGCCCCGCACCACCGACCCCATCCAGTACTGCAACCCCAGGGAGGCCCTGCACCACCCACCCCATCCAGTACTGCAACCCCATGGAGGCCCCGCACCACAGACCCCATCCAGTACTGCAACCCCAGGGAGGCCCCGCACCACAGATCCCATCCAGTACTGCAACCCCAGGGAGGCCCCGCACCACCCACCCCATCCGCCTGCAACCCCAGGGAGGCCCTGCACCACAGATCCCATCCAGTACTGCAACCCCAGGGAGGCCCCGCACCACCGACCCCATCCAGTACTGCAACCCCAGGGAGGCCCTGCACCACAGACCCCATCCGGTACTGCAACCCCAGGGAGGCCCCGCACCACAGACCCCATCCAGTACTGCAACACCAGGGAGGCCCCTCACCACAGACCCCATCCAGTACTGCAACCCCAGGGAGGCCCCGCACCACCGACCCCATCCAGTACTGCAACCCCAGGGAGGCCCCGCACCACAGACCCCATCCACCTGCAACCCCAGGGAGGCCCCGCACCACAGACCCCATCCGCCTGCAACCCCAGGGAGGCCCCGCACCACCCACCCCATCCAGTACTGCAACACCAGGGAGGCCCCTCACCACAGACCCCATCCAGTACTGCAACCCCAGGGAGGCCCCGCACCACCGACCCCATCCAGTACTGCAACCCCAGGGAGGCCCCGCACCACAGACCCCATCCACCTGCAACCCCAGGGAGGCCCCGCACCACAGACCCCATCCGCCTGCAACCCCAGGGAGGCCCCGCACCACCCACCCCATCCAGTACTGCAACCCCAGGGAGGCCCCGCACCACAGACCCCATCCAGTACTGCAACCCCAGGGAGGCCCCGCACCACCCACCCCATCCACCTGCAACCGCAGGGAGGCCCTGCACCACCCACCCCATCCAGTACTGCAACCCCAGGGAGGCCCCGCACCACCCACCCCATCCGGTACTGCAACCCCAGGGAGGCCCTGCACCACAGACCCCATCCAGTACTGCAACCCCAGGGAGGCCCTGCACCACCCACCCCATCCAGTACTGCAACCCCAGGGAGGCCCCGCACCACAGACCCCATCCAGTACTGCAACCCCATGGAGGCCCCGCACCACAGACCCCATCCGGTACTGCAACCCCAGGGAGGCCCCGCACCACAGACCCCATCCAGTACTGCAACACCAGGGAGGCCCCGCACCACCGACCCCATCCAGTACTGCAACCCCAGGGAGGCCCCGCACCACCCACCCCATCCGCCTGCAACCCCAGGGAGGCCCTGCACCACAGACCCTATCCGCCTGCAACCCCAGGGAGGCTCCGCACCACAGACCCCATCCAGTACTGCAACCCCAGGGAGGCCCTGCACCACCCACCCCATCCAGTACTGCAACCCCAGGGAGGCCCTGCACCAGAGACCCCATCCACCTGCAACCCCAGGGAGGCCCTGCACCACAGACCCCATCCAGTACTGCAACCCCAGGGAGGCCCCGCACCAGAGACCCCATACGCCTGCAACCCCAGGGAGGTCCCGCACCACAGACCCCATCCGGTACTGCAACACCAGGGAGGCCCCGCACCACAGACCCCATCCACCTGCAACCCCAGGGAGGCCCCGCACCACAGACCCCATCCAGTACTGCAACCCCAGGGAGGCTCCGCACCACCCACCCCATCCAGTACTGCAACCCCAGGGAGGCCCTGCACCACAGACCCCATCCAGTACTGCAACCCCAGGGAGGCCCCGCACCACAGACCCCATCCGCCTGCAACCCCAGGGAGGCCCCGCACCACAGACCCCATCCAGTACTGCAACCCCAGGGAGGCCCTGCACCACCCACCCCATCCGGTACTGCAACCCCAGCGGAGGCCCGGCGTGCCCCGGCCCACGAGGCAAGGAGGTAGCTTCACCTCTGGTGCAGAGCCTTGGCGCACACTCATGAGAGCCCCGCCCAGTTCTGTTCCCATCGGCACCCTGGCCTGGCTGGGTCAGCACCGTGGCCAGCAGCCAGGCCCACAGCCCAGCCTCACGGGCTCTGGTCACCCGAGTGTACTTGTGAGTGCTTCCTGGACCTGGGTCTGTTGTAAACGCACCAGGCTTTGTCACTAGGCTGCACCAAAGGCCACCGACAAACAAGGCAGTAACAACTGCCATGAATTCCGGGCTCAAGCCTATCGGCAGCATTGCGACCAGCCAGTGGACAGTTTCCATGGTTCCACCGGGCACGTCTGTTCCGGAAGCTTCTAGAATGGTTCACGGCTATCTGGATGTCACTTAGGATCCTCTGCAGCAAGCCCAGCTGGGCTTGCCCAAACCAGCTTCCATAGCCCGGAGGCTAGCAGCTAGCAGGCAGACGTGCACCAGACGGAACTGGAACTGGGGCTTGAATGCACAGCCTCTCACTCACATCTGGCTTTTTCCACTCTAGGCTGTACTTTCCCACTTCAGCCACTGCTAACTTTTCTGCCCAAGTTGGCTTCGAACTCAATCCTCAGTCCTCAGCCTCCTGAGGAGCTAGGGTAGCGGCGTGAGCCACTGGTGCTCAGCACAACCATGTGTGTTGGTGACTGTAGGCGGCGCTCAGACGTCTTGTCATACACACGGAGGCAGCTGACCTTTAATGGGTTTTTCTGCTTTGGAGGTAGTCTCACTACAGCCCAGGCTGGCCCTCGGGGCTCGGATTACAGGCCTAGTGTTTCCCTCCTCGGTCCCTGAGCACAGCTGGGGCCTGCTCGGCAGAGGAGGCGGGCAGCGGGCGCGGGGCTCTGCTGTGAGGCTGGGCAGAGGAGGCGGGCAGCGGGCGCGGGGCTCTGCTGTGAGGCTGGGCAGAGGAGGCTGGCAGCGGGCGCGGGGCTCTGCTGTGAGGCTGGGCAGAGGAGGCTGGCAGCGGGCGCGGGGCTCTGCTGTGAGGCTGGGCAGAGGAGGCTGGCAGCGGGCGCGGGCCTCTGCTGTGAGGCTGGGCAGAGGAGGCTGGCAGCGGGCGCGGGCCTCTGCTGTGAGGCTGGGCAGAGGAGGCTGGCAGCGGGCGCGGGGCTCTGCTGTGAGGCTGGGCAGAGGAGGCTGGCAGCAGGTGCGGGGCTCTGTTGTGAGGCTGGCGTGGGCACCCGTGGGGAGGCTAGCCCACCCTCCGCTCCCAAGGCAGGCATTAGGGTGGTCCAGGTGACAGTGGCGCTTAGGGAGTGCTGCCCACAGAAGGGAGGAGCCCCCACCCACAACCGCACCCCACGCACGGCCTGTCATTGGTCCCACGCCCGTGGCGTAAATGGGTGACGAGGAGAGTTCCCGTTGCAAGGGGGACCCTCAGCCTGTAACATGCCAGGCCTCCTCCTCCTCCTCCTCCTCTTCCTCCACCTGCCACAAGCCCAGGGCCTGTCTTCCTCCACCCGCCACACGCCCACTGCACCTTCACATTCCTGGAGGATTACACAGGGGATCTACCTCCTGAGGACACGAGAAGGACACGGAGCCCACCCCGGGAGGACACGGAGCCCACCCCGGGAGGACACGGAGCCCACCCTGGGAGGACACGGGGAGGACACGGAGCCCACCCCGGGAGGACACGGAGCTCACCCCGGGAGGACACGGAGCTCACCCTGGGAGGACACGGGGAGGACACGGGGAGGACACGGAGCCCACCCCGGGAGGACACGGGGAGGACACGGAGCCCACCCGGGGAGGCGGGGCGTGGGGACAGACCTCACACCACCACAGGGCAGGTGTCAGGGATACCACGAGACTTGCTATGGCTGGCCTGTGTGGCCACAGCTGGAGCCAGAGCTGGTCCTGCCGGGAGGCCCATCAGTCCAGGATGGTCTTAAAGTCTGTGGCCAGCGCTGGGTCAGCAGCGGCCTGCAGGACAGCCAGTGTGGCCTTGGGGAGCTTCTGGCACAGCTGGGTCTGGGCTGCAGCAGAGGGCAGAGCTCAGATTTTCTCCCAAAGACGCCAGAGTCCTTCAGCCCAGCACCAAGGATACACTGGGGCCCAGTGCCAAGATGGACAAGAGACCTCCTAGCCAAGAGAAGCCAGGGATCCGAAAGAATAGCAGTGGACTGCAGGGGTAGGCAAGGGACAGGAAGGAAGGCCCGAGCCAAGACGAGGTCGGGCAGCTCCATGGGGTGGGGTGGGGTGGGGGAGGCGTGGCCCCAGAGGCCCCTTCTGCTCGAGGCGGCTCTGAGCTGGAGGACAGCCCCACAGCTGCCTCACCACCTGGGGCTGCCCGTGTGGCCGCCCATCCGGTGGGAGCAATGGCAGGGTACTTGCCGGGAAGGGGGGGGCTGGGCCATGCGGGAGTGCTCACTTGCACTCACACCTACCTGTCCTGAGTGGTCCCAGGAGACACTTGTAGGTGCCACGGTGACAGGCCAGCTTGAGCAGGAAGGCCCGGAAGCAGAGCCACTGTGCAGCCTCAGAGGGAAAAGGGCCGCAGGCACCCTTGGATCCTAGTGAAAGCCCTGGGGAGCAAGCTGGGCTGAGGGCCAGGAAGACCGGGGCTGAGCCCTGGGGAGCAAGCTGGGCTGGGGGCCGGGGAGGACTGGGGCTGGGGGCCGGGGAGGATCGGGGCTGGGGGCCGGGGAGGACCGGGGCTGGGGGCTGGGGAGGACCGGGCCTGGGGAGGACCGGGGCTGGGGGCTGGGGAGGACCGGGGCTGGGGAGGACCGGGGCTGGGGAGGACTGGGGCTGGGGGCTGGGGAGGACTGGGGCTGGGGGCTGGGGAGGACCGGGGCTGGGGGCTAGGGAGGACCGGGGCTGGGGAGGACCGGGGCTGGGGGCTGGGGAGGACCGGGGCTGGGGACCGGGGAGGACCGGGGCTGGGGAGGACCGGGGCCGGGGAGGACTGGGGCTGGGGGCCGGGGAGGACCGGGGCTGGGGAGGACCGGGGCTGGGGGCTGGGGAGGACCGGGGCTGGGGGCTGGGGAGGACCGGGGCTGGGGACCGGGGAGGACCGGGGCTGGGGAGGACCGGGGCCGGGGAGGACTGGGGCTGGGGGCCGGGGAGGACCGGGGCTGGGGTACTACCCAGCCCGCCCCCATGCTCTGCACACACCTGTGTTCCGGGCTTTCAGGATGGAGAAGCAGCAGGCCGCCACGTCGGAGATGATCCTCAGGAAGAATGAGGGGTTCCTCCACACACCCTGGTCAAAGGGGAGCTGCAGCACGCAGGCGTGAAACCTGCAGACGTGTGCACACGCATCCACACGCCCCAGTCAAAGGGGAGCTGCAGCACGCAGGCGTGAAACCTGCACATGTATGCACACGCATCTACACGCCCCGGTCAAAGGGGAGCTGCAGCACACAGGCGTGAAGCCTGCAGACATGTGCACACGCATCCACACGCCCCGGTCAAAGGGGAGCTGCAGCACGCAGGCGTGAAACCTACACATGTGTGCACACGCATCCACACGCCCCGGTCAAAGGGGAGCTGCAGCACACAGGCATGAAACCTGCAGACGTGTGCACACGGGTCCACACGCCCCGGTCAAAGGGGAGCTGCAGCACACAGGCGTGAAGCCTGCAGACGTGTGTACACGCATCCACACGCCCTGGTCAAAGGGGAGCTGCAGCTCATCATGTGAGTGCACTGCTTTAGGTAACACATGTAAACAATGGCGTGTGCGCAAGTGCTGCACGCTGCACTCTGCAACATACGTAGTCCATCACCAGCTCTGGTGTGCTGCACAGGGACCCTGTCCGTACTCCTCACCCTCTGGAACTTGACAAGCCAGCGATGCACGCAGCCTCACGGCACTGCCCAGTGAGAAGGGTCCCGCTTGCCACACAGGACAGAGAGCCCAGAAGCGTTCCTGACAAACGCCAGGCAGGCATCAGCGCTCACCTGTAACCCTAGCTGCTCAGCAGACTGAGATTGGAGGATCATGGTTTGAAGCCAGCCTGAGATTTTTTCCTGGGGGAGGGAGGCAGTCCTGGGGCTTTGAAGTCAGGGCCCCAGGCTCTGTCCCTGAGCATGATCCACTGCTTTGGCCATAGTTCTACTTTGGTTTTTGTGTGCTTAACTAGAGATAAAGAGTTTCAAAGTTTCCTTCCTGGTCTAGCAGTGAGATAAGGAGGCTGAGCCTAAATCATTTCCTACAGACAGGCGGGAGATGGGGGCTGTCCACCCAGCTCCCAGGCCTAGAGATGAGACAAGCCAGCCTTCAAAATGCAGATGCCCGTTCCAGGTAAGCCAGGAGAGTTCTGACTCATAGATGCAGGCGATACCTTCCCAGTGGGGAAGGGTGACCTCCCCTTCTCGGGTGATGGGTGGGGAGATGGGCTGATAGGTTGCTGAACCTGTCAGTCTGGGGCCTGGGACTGTTCCGTGACCTGGCCCCGTGCCCCAACCTTATTTAGGCCTGGACCAGCCTAGCTGCCAAGTCGCCAGGCTATGTCTCTGGTCCTGTCCCAAGTTCCACCTCGTCTTGTGTCTCTCCATGTTCATGTCTTGTGTCCTACCTCCTGGCTGTCTTCCACATGTCTATGATCACGTCCTGTGTCCTGCCTTGACTTCTGTGTCTCCACATTCACATCCTGTCTCCCGGCTCGTCTTCCGTGTGTCTCTGTGATCACATCCTGTGTCCTGTCTCCCGGCTCATCTTCCGTGTGTCTCTGTGATCACATCCTGTGTCCTGTCTCCCAGCTCGTCTTCCGTGTGTCTCTGTGATTGTGTCCTGTTTCCCTGTTCATCTTCCGCGTGTCTCTGTGATCATGTCCTGTGTCCTGCCTCCTGGCTGTCTTCCACATGTCTATGATCACGTCCTGTGTCCTGCCTTGACTTCTGTGTCTCCATATTCACATCCTGTCTCCCAGCTCGTCTTCCGTGTGTCTCTGTGATCACATCCTGTGTCCTGTCTCCCAGCTCGTCTTCCGTGTGTCTCTGTGATCACATCCCGTGTTCTGTTTCCCTGTTCATCTTCCGCGTGTCTCTGTGATCACGTCCTGTGTCCTGTCTCCCAGTTCATCTTCCTGTGTTTCCGTGATCGTGTCCTGTGTCCTGGATCGTCTTCCATGTGTTTCTGTGATCGTGTCCTGTGTCCTGTTTCCCTGTTCATCTTCCGTGTGTCTCTGTGATCGCATCCTGTGTCCTGTGTCCTAGCTCGTCTTCCGTGTGTTTCCGTGACCGTGTCCTGTGTCCCGGCTGTCTTCCGTGTGTCTCTGTGATTATGTCCTGTCTCCTGGCTCGTCTTCCGTGTGTTTCCGTGATCATGTTCTGTGTCCTGTCTCCTGGCTCGTCTTCCGTGTGTCTCTGTGATTGTGTCCTGTCTCCTGGCTCGTCTTCCGTGTGTCTCTGTGATTGCATCCTGTATCCTGTGTCCTGGCTCATCTTCCGTTTGTCTCCGTGATCGCATCCTGTATCCTGTGTCCTGGCTCATCTTCCGTGTGTCTCCGTGATCGTGTCCCGTGTCCTGCCTCCTGGCTTGTCTTCTGCGTCTGTGGGGACCCGTTCACTGGTGGGACCCTGTCACTCCTCTGCACCTGCCCACCGTGGCGGGCAGGGAGGGTGCCGCCACCCTGGATCCCACTGCTGCGCATTGCCCATAAGCCAGGATACAACCAGCTCAAGCCCACCTCCCCTGAACAGAGCACCGAGGAACGAGGGGCCCCAGGGCCCAGGGCTAAATCCAGCAGCCTGGTCTCGGGGTGTGTATCAGGGGCTCACAGGCCTCCCCACTACATGTCCAGGAAGGAAGGGAGTGGCACACGCAGCCAGGAAGGGAATGAAGGGATCCCGGCCACAAAGCCATGAGTCTATGACAGGCCCTGCCAGACCAGGCTGACCTCCGGAACCAGACAGGGAGAGCACAGTGCAAACCACCTCCCCGAGGACTGAGGCACAGTACTCAATACAGACAGCACCGTGCAAACCACCTCCCCGAGGACTGAGGCACAGTACACAATACAGACAGCACCGTGCAAACCACCTCCCCGAGGACTGAGGCACAGTACTTGACACAGACAGCACTGTGCAAACCACCTCCCCGAGGACTGAGGCACAGTACTCAACACAGACAGCACCGTGCAAACCACCTCCCTGAGGACTGAGGCACAGTACTTGACACAGACAGCACTGTGCAAACCACCTCCCTGAGGACTGAGGCACAGTACTTGACACAGACAGCACTGTGCAAACCACCTCCCCGAGGACTGAGGCACAGTACTAAACCACCTCCCCGAGGACTGAGGCACAGTACTCAATACAGGCAGCACTGTGCAAACCACCTCCCCGAGGACTGAGGCACAGTACTCAATACAGGCAGCACCGTGCAAACCACCTCCCCGAGGACTGAGGCACAGTACTCAATACAGGCAGCACCGTGCAAACCACCTCCCTGAGGACTGAGGCACAGTACTCAATACAGACAGCACCGTGCAAACCACCTCCCCGAGGACTGAGGCACAGTACTAAACCACCTCCCTGAGGACTAAGGCACAGTACTCAATACAGGCAGCACTGTGCAAACCACCTCCCCGAGGACTGAGGCACAGTACTCAATACAGGCAGCACTGTGCAAACTACCTCCCTGAGGACTGAGGCACAGTACTTGACACAGACAGCACTGTGCAAACCACCTCCCCGAGGACTGAGGCACAGTACTCAATACAGACAGCACTGTGCAAACCACCTCCCTGAGGACTGAGGCACAGTACTCAATACAGACAGCACCGTGCAAACCACCTCCCTGAGGACTGAGGCACAGTACTCAATACAGACAGCACTGTGCAAACCACCTCCCCGAGGACTGAGGCACAGTACACAATACAGACAGCACCGTGCAAACCACCTCCCCGAGGACTGAGGCACAGTACTTGACACAGACAGCACTGTGCAAACCACCTCCCCGAGGACTGAGGCACAGTACTCAATACAGACAGCACCGTGCAAACCACCTCCCCGAGGACTGAGGCACAGTACTCGCACAGACAGCACTGTGCAAATCACTCCCCGAGCACAGCACACCACCCTGAGTACTAAAGCACAGTGCACTCAACAAGGATTGACAGCACGATGCAATCCATCATTCTGAGTACTCAGGACAGGCAACACAGGCTAGGACTATGTCTGTGACATGACAGATACTGGGACAAAAACTTCTTCCACCATCCCTCCCTGGAATTCCTGTGAGTAACAGACTGCCATCTGTGTCACGCTGGGCGCAGGCAGCGCGTGACACCGAACTCGGGCCAGCCTTGCTCAGCCCAGGCTCTGCCTCCCTGTGCTCTGCTCTGGTGACCAAGGGAGGCATGTGACAGGGAAGCCGTGTCCACACAGAACACTGGCTACCACCACAGCCTCCACACAGTAGCCTCTGCCATAGCTTCCGCAGAGCAGCCTCCAAGGACAGCCTCCTTCCACGGAAGGCTCACAGGAAGTTGTCCGCATCCCTGGGCTGCACAGGGCAGTCGAGCAGTCCCTACAGGAAGCCTCGGAGCGCAGAGTTCTCCTGTGTGCTATGGCCCTGATGGGGCGTGTCCAGGTAATAAGTGACATGCATGGTGTCGGGCTCCCAATGGAGCAAAACCCAACCAACGGTGACGATTCCCCAGCCCAAGCCTGGCAAGGCACCGGCTGCCTCTCCTGTCGGCCACAGGTCTGCGTCATCAGGACCAGCCAAGGACAACACAAAGAACAGAACACATGCAGGACCCAGTGTCACCTGGGCTGATTTGAGCCACATCCTGGCCACACCTTCCTGTGGCACAAGGCAGCGACACCATCGCAACAGCCCTGATCCTCTGCTCTCTGGGGTCCCAAACCCACGTCCTCGACCGACACCTCCACTCTCTGCCCATGATGGCTCTCGTTCCAGGACTGATGGAGGCCATCAGACAGCCCAGCCCACCACAGGGAGGCGGCTAGGGGAGGCCTCTCCACCAGGTCCAGGTGGACAGTGCAGACACTATGAATGCCGTTTTTCCTGCTGTGGGGACACTGCGGGTGCCACGTCTGCCACAGAGACGCTACAGGTACCAGGTCTCTGGAGATGGAATCTCAGCAATACTCAAGACGAAGCAGCAGGGCAACGCCACTGAAGACACTGCCCAGGCTCCCAGCCCTGTGCCGCCAGACACTGCCCAGACACTGCCCAGACACTGCCCAGGCTCCCGGCCCTGTGCCGCCCAGACACTGCCCAGACACTGCGCAGGCTCCCAGCCCTGTGCCACCAGACACTGCCCAGATACTGCCCAGACACTGCCCAGATACTGCCCAGGCTCCTGGCCCTGTGCAACCAGACACTGCCCAGATACTGCCCAGGCTCCCAGCCCTGTGCCACCAGACACTGCCCAGATACTGCCCAGACACTGCCCAGGCTCCCGGCCCTGTGCCGCCCAGACACTGCCCAGACACTGCCCAGGCTCCCAGCCCTGTGCCGCCAGACACTGCCCAGACACTGCCCAGGCTCCCGGCCCTGTGCCGCCCAGACACTGCCCAGACACTGCGCAGGCTCCCAGCCCTGTGCCACCAGACACTGCCCAGATACTGCCCAGACACTGCCCAGATACTGCCCAGGCTCCTGGCCCTGTGCAACCAGACACTGCCCAGATACTGCCCAGGCTCCCAGCCCTGTGCCACCAGACACTGCCCAGATACTGCCCAGGCTCCCAGCCCTGTGCCACCAGACACTGCCCAGATACTGCCCAGACACAACCCAGATACTGCCCAGGCTCCCGGCCCTGTGCCACCAGACACTGCCCAGACACTGCCCAGGCTCCCAGCCCTGTGCCATTAGACACTGCCCAGACACTGCCCAGGTTCCCAGCCCTGTGCCGCCCGGACACTGCCCAGACATTGCCCAGGCTCCCGGCCCTGTGCCACCAAAGACACTGCCCAGACACTGCCCAGACATGGCCCAGGTTCCCGGCCCTGTGCTGCCCCCTTGTGGCAGCGGGGCCCCAGGACTCACCTGTAGGCCTGCAACAGGAAGATCTTGTACACGTTTGTGCAGACGGTCTGGAGGCTGTTCACCTGCACACAGACAACTGTCAGTACTGTTCCTGGACAGCAAACGTGCACTTTCCACCCACTCGGGCCACGTGATAGAGGAGGAGAGCAAACAGGACACACGCCCAGCACGGAGTGCAGAAACACACACCCAGCACGGACTGCAGGCACACACGCCCAGCACGGACTGCAGACACACACACCCAGCATGTGCAGACACACACGCCCAGCATGGACTGCAGACACACACGCCCAACATGTGCAGACACACACGCCCAACATGTGCAGACACACACGCCCAGCACGGACTGCAGACACACGCCCAACATGTGCAGACACACACGCCCAGCACGGACTGCAGACACACACGCCCAGCATGTGCAGACACACTCGCCCAGCATGTGCAGACACACACGCCCAGCATGTGCAGACACACACACCCAGCATGTGCAGACACACTCGCCCAGCATGTGCAGACACACGCCCAGCATGTGCAGACACACACGCCCAGCATGTGCAGACACACACGCCCAGCATGTGCAGACACACACACCCAGCATGTGCAGACACACTCGCCCAGCATGTGCAGACACACTCGCCCAGCATGTGCAGACACACACGCCCAGCATGTGCAGACACACACGCCCAGCACGGACTGCAGACACACACGCCCAGCATGTGCAGACACACACGCCCAGCACGTGCAGACACACGCCCAGCACGTGCAGACACACACGCCCAGCATGTGCAGACACACACACCCAGCATGTGCAGACACACACGCCCAGCATGTGCAGACACACACGCCCAGCATGTGCAGACACACACGCCCAGCATGTGCAGGCACACACGCCCAGCACGGACTGCAGACACACACGCCCAGCATGTGCAGGCACACACGTCCAGCATGTGCAGACACACACGCCCAGCATGTGCAGACACACACGCCCAGCATGTGCAGACACACACGCCCAGCATGGAGTGCAGACACACACGCCCAACATGTGCAGACACACACACCCAGCATGTGCACACACACGCCCAGCATGTGCAGACACACACGCCCAGCATGTGCAGACACACGCCCAGCATGTGCAGACACACACGCCCAGCATGTGCAGACACACGCCCAGCATGTGCAGACACACACGCCCAACATGTGCAGACACACACACCCAGCATGTGCAGACACACGCCCAGCATGGAGTGCAGACACACACGCCCAACATGTGCAGACACACGCGCCCAGCATGTGCAGACACACACGCCCAGCATGTGCAGACACACACGCCCAGCATGTGCAGACACACACACCCAGCATGTGCACACACGCCCAGCATGTGCAGACACACATGCCCAGCACAGACTGCAGACACACACACACAGCATGTACAGACACACACGCCCAGCATGTGCAGACACACACACCCAGCATGTGCAGACACACACGCCCAGCATGTGCAGACACACACGCCCAGCATGGAGTGCAGACACACACGCCCAACATGTGCAGACACACACACCCAGCATGTGCACACACACGCCCAGCATGTGCAGACACACACGCCCAGCATGTGCAGACACACGCCCAGCATGTGCAGACACACGCCCAGCATGTGCAGACACACACGCCCAGCATGTGCAGACACACGCCCAGCATGTGCAGACACACACGCCCAACATGTGCAGACACACACACCCAGCATGTGCAGACACACACGCCCAGCATGGAGTGCAGACACACACGCCCAACATGTGCAGACACACACACCCAGCATGTGCACACACACGCCCAGCATGTGCAGACACACACGCCCAGCATGTGCAGACACACGCCCAGCATGGAGTGCAGACACACACGCCCAACATGTGCAGACACACGCGCCCAGCATGTGCAGACACACACGCCCAGCATGTGCAGACACACACGCCCAGCATGTGCAGACACACACACCCAGCATGTGCAGACACACACACCCAGGGCTCAGCACGGAGTGCAGACACACTCGCCCAGCATGTGCAGACACACACGCCCAGCATGTGCAGACACACTCGCCCAGCATGTGCAGACACACACGTCCAGGGCTCAGCACGGAGTGCAGACACACACGCCCAGGGCTCAGCACGGAGTGCAGACACACACGCCCAGCATGTGCAGACACACACGCCCAGCATGTGCAGACACACACGCCCAGGGCTCAGCACAGAGTGCAGACACACTCGCCCAGCATGTGCAGACACACACGCCCAGCATGTGCAGACACACTCGCCCAGCATGTGCAGACACACACGCCCAGGGCTCAGCACGGAGTGCAGACACACACGCCCAGCATGTGCAGACACACACACCCAGCATGTGCAGACACACACGCCAAGCACGTGCAGACACACACGCCCAGCATGTGCAGACACACGCACCCAGCATGTGCAGACACACACACCCAGCATGTGCAGACACACACACCCAGGGCTCAGCACGGAGTGCAGACACACTCGCCCAGCATGTGCAGACACACACGCCCAGCATGTGCAGACACACTCGCCCAACATGTGCAGACACACACGCCCAACATGTGCAGGCACACACGCCCAGCACGGACTGCAGACACACACACCCAGCACGGACTGCAGACACACACACCCAGCATGTGCAGACACACACGCCCAGCATGTGCAGACACACACGCCCAGCATGTGCAGACACACACACCCAGGGCTCAGCACGGAGTGCAGACACACTCGCCCAGCATGTGCAGACACACACGCCCAGCATGTGCAGACACACACGCCCAGCATGTGCAGACACACTCGCCCAGCATGTGCAGACACACGCCCAGCATGGAGTGCAGACACACACGCCCAGCATGTGCAGACACACACGCCCAGCATGTGCAGACACACACGCCCAGCACGTGCAGACACACACGCCCAGCATGTGCAGACACACGCACCCAGCATGTGCAGACACACTCGCCCAGCATGTGCAGACACACACGTCCAGGGCTCAGCACGGAGTGCAGACACACACGCCCAGGGCTCAGCACGGAGTGCAGACACACACGCCCAGCATGTGCAGACACACACGCCCAGCATGTGCAGACACACACGCCCAGGGCTCAGCACGGAGTGCAGACACACGCCCAGGGTCCTTGGTGCACACGCGTACACCTGCCACTCCAGTATGCCCATTGAAGCACACATGTGCTCCGCATGCACCCTCACAACACTGCACACAGGCAGTGTAGACACCTAGGAGGCGTAGACAGTGAAGACAAGGCTGCCCGAGCCTAACTCTGCCCCTGCTCACCTCCAGGTCCAGGAACAGACTGTGGCATTTCAGGCGCAAGACGGCCAGGAGCTTGTGACGCATGGTCCTCCCCGTCCTGAAGCCGCGGTGGAAGGTGAGGCTGGCTCTCATGGAGGTCTGGGCGTAGCTGTGGGATGGGGGTCACCATGTGCACCTGACCCCGGCCTGCCGCGTGCACCCCAACCAGCCCTGCTATGCACCCCACCCTGGCCCGCTGTGTGCACCCCACCCCGGCCTCCCGCGTGCACCCCACGCCAGCCCTGCTGTGTGCACCCCACGCCAGCCCTGCTGTGTGCACCCCACGCCAGCCCTGCTGTGTGCACCCCACGCCAGCCCTGCTGTGTGCACCCCACGCCAGCCCTGTGTGCACCCCACGCCAGCCCTGCTGTGTGCACCCCACGCCAGCCCTGCTGTGTGCACCCCACGCCAGCCCTGCTGTGTGCACCCCACGCCAGCCCTGCTGTGTGCACCCCACGCCAGCCCTGCTGTGTGCACCCCACACCAGCCCTGTGTGCACCCCACGCCAGCCCTGTGTGCACCCCATGCCAGCCCTGTGTGCACCCCACGCCAGCCCTGTGTGCACCCCACGCCAGCCCTGCTATGTGCACCCCACGCCAGCCCTGTGTGCACCCCACACCAGCCCTTTGTGCACCCCATGCCAGCCCTGTGTGCACCCCACACCAGCCCTGTGTGCACCCCACACCAGCCCTTTGTGCACCCCACGCCAGCCCTGTGTGCACCCCACACCAGCCCTGTGTGCACCCCACACCAGCCTTGCTGTGTGCACCCCACACCAGCCCTGTGTGCACCCCACGCCAGCCCTGCTGGTGTACCCCACGCCAGCCCTGCCGGTGCACCCACAGCACAGCTAAGGCACAGCTGGTGGACTAGATGGGACCAGACCTTCCCACTGTGGCTGTGACACATCCCTCACGCTACATGCAGGGTCTGGGTCCTGGCACACCCAAACCCCACCAGGACTTGGTTGACAGTGCTCATTTCACTGGCAATTGGACTGCGACGCACGCCCACTCACCAGTGACGGACAAGAGGTCCAGCCAGAAACACCAACCCCACCCAGACGGGGTGGCCACTCCCGCCACACCGGGGGCTGTGAGTGGCACCCTGAGAGACGGCCCGCACCCTGCAGGGAACACGGCCAGACGCATGCAGGACACAGGGAGTAATGGGTCTGCCAAGGACACACGTGATGTGTGCTGTCTGCCTTTCACCCAGTTTATGGACACGTGCATGGTTACATACGTGTCTGCGCTACCTAACGTTTGGAACTGACATCAGTGGCGGCACAGTGTCTGTGGCATGTGACGCCCCTGAGCCAGTGGCGTGGTGCACCGGTCATCTGGGGTGGTGAGCCAGACCGCCCTCACCAGCTCAAAATGCCAAGGACCTACAAGAGAGACAGAAGGTACCTGTTCTCTTGTGTGTGGAAGATGTAGCACACAAGCACTCAGGATGACATACAGGGTTACACGCAACAAACTAGCTAAAGGACGGCGTACTTGGGGAGCAAAGAGCTAACCAATGTCCAGTGAATGCCAACCTATTCTTGTGGCAGGGGGTGAGGGAGGGCAGGGGGGTGGAAGAGGGAGGGAGCAATCCACCCAATCACATAAAAATGAACTACGGCCGCGACCCTAGCTACTCAGGAGGCTGAGATCCAAGGATCGCAGTGAAGCCAGTGTGAGCAGAAAAGCCTGCAAGACTCTCATCTGCAATTAACCACAAAGTCAGCTCCAGTGGTAAGGCCCAAGCGGAGACTTCAAGTCCCAGGATTGGCAAGAAAACGACTAAAACCATGAACTATCTAACTAGAGGGTAGGGAGGGAAGGGTGGAAGGCATGGTACTGAACAAGAAGTCAGAACCTGACTTCTGGAACACTTTTTACAACCACTGTATACTGTATCTTTAAATGGCCAAGGACATCCCCGTGACTCTGGTGCCTTCTTCAGGGTAGAGTTGGACATGTGGAATTGCCAGCCATCCTGAGACCTCACACGAACACGCCACTCTCGACGCCTTCCACCCTGCGCCCCGACACCAGCTCTCAGTGAGAGACGCAGACGGGTGTGGAAGGGGGCTGGGATGTGAGTGAGTTCTCTTAGCGCTGGGACTCACTGCTGCCTTTTCTAGGGGGTCAGCTTCTGGTCTGAGCAGTGTGGGCAGAAGGGGGCTGGGACCAGGCTGCTGTGCCCGGTGGTGATGGAAGGTGCCCATCCCTGGGCCTTGGTCCTCACTCATCTAGAAGGGCTGAGAACCAGGAGGTAGAGTAGGAGAACCGGGCAGGCCCTGACACCACGGGACGGCGCAGGAGCGACACAGGGGAGGCTGTGGGGCCCACGGTGGGGGGGGCGGCTCTTCCTCCCCACCCTTCCTCTTACTCCTCCCCCCTCCTCTTCCTCAGGGCGCTCCCCTCCTCCTCTTTCCCCCCCTCCTCTTCCTCAGGGCCACCCCTCCTCCTGGCCCACCCTCTTCCCCCACCCCTCCTCCTCCACCCCCATTCCTCTTCCTCAGGGCCCACCCCTCCTCCTCCTCCTCAAAGCCTACTCCTCCTACTCAGTACCCACTCCTCCTCTTCCTCAGGGCCCACCCTTCCTCCTGAGGCATGGGGTGTAATCTGACCTCCCCCCGAAAGTCACAGCAAAGCACGGAACTTTCCGGTCTGCTTTCCTCTTCAGCTCTGCTTTTGTTTCTACCTTGTCTTTCTCCTTTTCCTCGGACTGCCGTTGGTGTTAGCACCTCCTACTGTCAAAGTGCCCAAAAAGCTCAAGAAAAAATTTTCAGTGAGGCCTTCTTTTCCACCAGCTGCACTACAGACCACGTGAGAACACAGTGGCTTCCGTGTCCGGAGCTTCTGTCAGACTCACCCTCCAGACCGCAGACCACGTGAGAACACAGTGGCTTCCGTGTCTGGAGCTTCTGTCAGACTCACCCTCCAGACCGCAGACCACGTGAGAACACAGTGGCTTCCGTGTCCGGAGCTTCTCTATCACTCACCCTCCAGACCGCAGACCACGTGAGAACACAGTGGCTTCCGTGTCCGGAGCTTCTGTCAGACTCACCCTCCAGACCGCAGACCACGTGAGAACACAGTGGCTTCCGTGTCTGGAGCTTCTGTCAGACTCACCCTCTAGTCTGACAGTACACCCCTCTGCAGTACAACAGTTGCACCCACATGCTCTGGGTGCACACACCCCCACACACATGTGGTCTTCGGAGGGTTCACAGGGCCCTGTGCAGCTCCGATCCATTTTACTTAAGGGCTGAGCATTTGTGGGGGGGGAGGGGGGGGTCTTGGGCCATTCTACTTACTGAGTATCTACTGTATAGTTTGGGGAGATATGGCTTTAATTGTATTTCTTTTGTCATTTCTCACCACTCTCTGCCATCTGAGCTGTGGATTGGGTTAGAACAAAATCTAGGTATCTAAGTGCTATCATTTTCTCTTTTTTTAAAATTAACTATTATTATTTGTCTGTCCTGGTACTTGAACTCAGGGCCTGGACCCTGTACTTGAGCTTTTGTTCAAAGCTAATGCTCTACCACTTGAGCCACCGTTCTACTTCTGGCTTTTTGGCGGTTAACTGGAGATGAGAATCTTACAGATGTCCCTTGCCCTCCCTTAGCTTCCTGAGTGGCTGACACTACAGCCGTGAGCCACTGGCGTTCAGGTTAGTCTCCTCTGTTAAGATGTTTCCCAGCCACACGCCTGCGCTCCCCGTCCTGACACACACGGCTACTGTCCCCACAGGAGGACCATGGGCACCATGTTCACAGACAAGGCCCACGCTCACCCTGGGCCACAGCCACCCAGCTGAGCTCTCTCAGCCATGGTGTTCAGAAGCTGGCAACTCAGGGAGCAGATGCCGCAGCTGCAGCTCTCCTGCTCGTGTATGCCCACGTACGCTCACTCCTGCCCACGTATGCTCACTCCTGCCCACTCCTGCCCACGTACGCTCACTCCTGCCCACGTATGCTCACTCCTGCCCACGTATGCTCACGCATGCCCACGTATGCTCCCTCCTGCTCACGTATGTTCACTCCTGCCCACGTATGCTCACTCCTGCCCACGTATGCTCACTCCTGCCCACGTATGCTCACTCCTGCCCACGTATGCTCACTCCTGCCCACGTATGCTCACTCCTGCCCACGTACGCTCACTCCTGCCCACGTACGCTCACTCCTGCTCACTCCTGCCCACGTACGCTCACTCCTGCTCACTCCTGCCCATGTATGCCCACTCCTGCCCACATATGCCCACTCCTGCCCATGTATGCTCACCTCTGCTCACTCCCTCACTCCTGCTCACGTATGCTCAACTCCTGCCCGCGTACGCTCCCTCCTGCTCACGTATGTTCACTCCTGCCCACGTATGCTCACGTATGCTCACTCCTGCCCACGTATGCTCACGTATGCCCACTCCTGCCCACGTACGCTCACTCCTGCCCACGTACGCTCACTCCTGCCCACGTACGCTCACTCCTGCCCACGTACGCTCACTCCTGCCCACGTACGCTCACTCCTGCCCACGTATGCCCACTCCTGCCCACGTATGCCCACTCCTGCCCACGTATGCTCACCTCTGCTCACTCCCTCACTCCTGCTCACGTATGCTCAACTCCTGCCTGCGTACGCTCACTCCTGCTCACTCGGCCCCAGCAGGAGGGTGCCCTGATCCCCAGCCTCACCCAGGTGCGCCCTCCACCATTCAGAGCCTCAGAGCAGGGTGCTGGTGGGACACATCTAGAGCCCTGGCTACTCAGGCTGAGATATGAGGATCTCACTGGACAGGAAGTCTGGGAGCTCCCATCTCCACGGCACCACCAAGCCATAAGTGGAGCTGTGGCTCAAGAGCAACAGCACTAGCCTTGAGTAAACAAGCTCAGGGACAGCACCCAGGCCCGCAGTTCAAGTTGGAGAATGGGGAAAGAGAAAAGAAAGAGAAGAAGGAAAGAAAGAAAAAAGAAAGAAAGAAAGAAGGAAGGAAGGAAGGAAGGAAAGAAAGGAAAGAGAGAGAAAATGACAAAGGAAGGAAATGAAGAAAGAAAGAAAAGAAAGAACGAAAGAAAGAAAGAAAACGACAGTGGTCCCGAGGGCTGGTCCTACCCTAAACCAGTGTCATGGAAATAGGACAGACAAATGGTAGAGAATCTGTACTGCCTGGTGTGGTCGGCAGGAAGAGGACTCACATGAGAGCAGGACGGGGCTCAGACCACAGGAGTATCAAACCCAAAAGTCTGAGTTGAGTTCTGAGCTCAGGAAACACCAGGCCAGAGGCTGGCAGCAGGCGGCCCCGGCACAGGAGTGGCAGCAGGGCCAAGCCAGGGGGCACTGGGCACACTGGGCACACCAGGCCCTGTGGTAGGAATTCCAGAGTGCATGTGGGAGACAGGACAGTCCAGATGAGGGCCATTAGATAGGAAGGCTGGAATCACCACCCAAGAAAACACAGATCCCAGTCTTCTACCACCACACCAGAGAGCTTTCCTTCTTGCTCATATTGAATCCCTTGGGCTGTGACCTCCTAAGAATGTGAGACCCCATCTCTACAAACACCACATACAGGAGGTGACGCCCCATCTCATATACTCACACACACACACACACAGGTGACACCTCATCTCATAAACACACACACAAACACACAGGTGACACCTCATCTCATACACACACACACACACACAGAGGTGACACCTCATCTCATAGACTCACACACACACACAGGTGACACCTCATCTCATAAACACACACACAAACACACAGGTGACACCTCATCTCATACACACACACACACACACAGAGGTGACACCTCATCTCATAGACTCACACACACACAGGTGACACCTCATCTCATACACACACACACACACACGACACCTCATCTCATAGACACACACACACACACGTGACACCTCATCGCATAGACACACACACACACACGTGACACCTCATCGCATAGACACACACACACACACACACAGGTGACACCTCATCTCATAGACACACACACAGGTGACACCCCATCTCAGACTCACACACACACACACACAGGTGACACCTCATCGCATAGACACACACACACACACACAGGTGACACCTCATCTCATAGACACACACACACACAGGTGACACCTCATCTCATACACACACACACACACACACAGGTGACACCTCATCTCAGACACACACACACACAGGTGACACCTCATCTCATAGACACACACACAGGTGACACCTCATCTCATACACACACACACACACACACACACAGGTGACACCTCATCTCATACACACACACACACAGGTGACACCTCATCTCATAGACACACACACACACACACAGGTGACACCTCATCTCAGACACACACACAGGTGACACCTCATCTCATAGACACACACACACACACAGGTGACACCTCATCTCATAGACTCACACACACACACAGGTGACACCTCATCTCATACACACACACACACACACACAGGTGACACCTCATCTCATACACACACACACACAGGTGACACCTCATCTCATAGACACACACACAGGTGACACCTCATCTCATACACACACACACACACACACACACAGGTGACACCTCATCTCATACACACACACACACAGGTGACACCTCATCTCATAGACACACACACACACACACAGGTGACACCTCATCTCAGACACACACACAGGTGACACCTCATCTCATAGACACACACACACACACACAGGTGACACCTCATCTCATACACACACACACACACACACACACAGGTGACACCTCATCTCATACACACACACACACACACACACACACAGGTGACACCTCATCTCATAGACTCACACACACACACACAGGTGACACCTCATCTCACACACACACACACACACACACACACACAGGTGACACCTCATCTCATAGACTCACACACACACACACACAGGTGACACCTCATCTCATAGACACACACATACACACACGCATAGATGAGACCCCATCTCACAGACTCCACACAGGATCCTGAATCTTCTGCCAACAGTGGCCACAAGTTCCTGTTGTCCCAGAGGCAAGGCAAGGCTGGCGCATGAACTTGGGCGGGCTGTGGCAGACACCCTTCCTTCCTCCAAACTGGCACAGGAGTCCGGTGCAACGTCAACGTCGGCCTACCTGGGCTGGGGGACAGCGTGTGTCCTAACTGCCTATGTGCAAATGCTGGAGCAGACGCAGTGAGTCACCTGCAATGCAGCCAGCCGGCCTCCACCGGCCAGGCGCGCCTTACCTGGAGTAGTCACGGAACACCCCCAGGCGCACCTTACCTGGAGTACTCACGGAACACCCCCAGGCGCGCCTTACCTGGAGTAGTCACGGAACACCCCCAGGCGCGCCTTACCTGGAGTACTCACGGAACACCCCCAGGCGCACCTTACCTGGAGTAGTCACGGAACACCCCCAGGCGCGCCTTACCTGGAGTACTCACGGAACACCCCCAGGCGCGCCTTACCTGGAGTACTCACGGAACACCCCCAGGCGCGCCTTACCTGGAGTAGTCACGGAACACCCCCAGGCGCACCTTACCTGGAGTACTCACGGAACACCCCCAGGCGCGCCTTACCTGGAGTACTCACGGAACACCCCCAGGCGCACCTTACCTGGAGTAGTCACGGAACACCCCCAGGCGCACCTTACCTGGAGTAGTCACGGAACACCCCCAGGCGCGCCTTACCTGGAGTAGTCACAGAACACCCCCAGGCGCGCCTTACCTGGAGTAGTCACGGAACACCCCCAGGCGCGCCTTACCTGGAGTACTCACGGAACACCCCCAGGCGCGCCTTACCTGGAGTAGTCACAGAACACCTCCAAGGTCTGCGTGTCCAGCAGCAGCCCACACCAGGGGAAGAGGCAGTGAGCAGGCAGCTGCATCGGGGCGGCCCCATCCAGGGCCACGCCCTCCAGAGGGAAGTTCACCACCGTCTTCTGCACGTTTATCTCACAGCCGTACTCGGGGACACCTCGGACCAGGACCCTGGGTAAGAGCAGAGCAGGTCCTCAGCCTCTGCCACCCGGGACCCTGGGAGTAAACCCCAGAGACACCCAGGGCAGGGAGAGGGGGCTATGCAGGACCCAGTCAGGACCAGTGCTGCGCTTGTTACTGGTGAGGTAGGTGACACTAACAGGACAGGTAGCCCCGGGGAGTGCTCAGACAGCCATCTTAGACCACGTGTGGAGAGCCCTCCCCATCCCCCACATCCAAGGCAGCTCATCGGGGCCTGCAGATGCTGCCAAGGCCCCGCATGGATCAGTTCCCGGTAAAATTATTTTCCTTCATACGTGGTCTAACCCTGAGGTCAGATGAAAGAGAACTCCTACTCCCACACCTGGGTGGGAGCCCACAGGAATGACACCCTGCCTCCCACCCTACATGCTCAGACCTACGGACCCGTCCCGGGACCACCCCACCACCTCCCTGCAGACCTACAGACCCGCCCCGCCACCTCCCTGCAGACCTACAGACCCACCCCACCACCTCCCTGCAGACTGCAGCCCTGCCCACCACCTCCCTGCAGACCTACAGCCCCCCCACTACCTCCCTGCAGACTGCAGCCCCGCCCACCACCTCCCTGCAGACCTACAGACCCGCCCCACCCCCTCCCTGCAGACCTACAGCCCCGCCCACCACCTCCCTGCAGACCTACAGCCCCGTCCACCACCTCCCTGCAGACCTACAGACCCGCCCACCACCTCCCTGCAGACCTACAGCCCCGTCCACCACCTCCCTGCAGACCTACAGACCCGCCCACCACCTCCCTGCAGACCTACAGCCCCGCCCACCACCTCCCTGCAGACCTACAGCCCCGTCCACCACCTCCCTGCAGACCTACAGCCCCGTCCACCACCTCCCTGCAGACCTACAGCCCCACCCACCACCTCCCTGCAGACCTACAGCCCCATCCACCACCTCCCTGCAGACCTACAGACCCGCCCACCACCTCCCTGCAGACCTGCAGACCTACAGACCCACCCCACCACCTCCCTGCAGACCCATAGACCTGCCCACCACCTCCCTGCAGACCTACAGACCTGCCCACCACCTCCCTGCAGACCTACAGACCTGCCCACCACCTCCCTGCAGACCCACAGACCCGCCCACCACCTCCCTGCAGACCTACAGACCTGTCCCACCACCTCCCTGCAGACCTGCAGCCCCGCCCCACCACCTCCCTGCAGACCTATAGACCCGCCCACCACCTCCCTGCAGACCTACAGAACCACCCCACCACCTCCTTGCAGACCTACAGACCCGCCCCACCACCTCCCTGCAGACCCATAGACCTGCCCACCACCTCCCTGCAGACCTACAGACCTGCCCACCACCTCCCTGCAGACCTACAGACCTGCCCACCACCTCCCTGCAGACCTACAGACCTGCCCACCACCTCCCTGCAAACCTACAGCCCCACCCACCTCCTCCCTGCAGACTGCAGACCTACCCCACCACCTCCCTGCAGACCTACAGACCTGTCCCACCACCTCCCTGCAGACCCACAGACCCGCCCACCACCTCCCTGCAGACCTACAGACCTGTCCCACCACCTCCCTGCAGACCTGCAGCCCCGCCCCACCACCTCCCTGCAGACCTATAGACCCGCCCACCACCTCCCTGCAGACCTACAGACCTGCCCACCACCTCCCTGCAGACCCACAGACCCGCCCACCACCTCCCTGCAGACCTACAGACCCGCCCACCACCTCCCTGCAGACCTACAGACCCGCCCACCACCTCCCTGCAGACCTACAGACCTGCCTACCACCTCCCTGCAGACCTACAGACCCGCCCACCACCTCCCTGCAGACCTACAGACCCGCCTACCACCTCCCTGCAGACCTACAGACCCGTCCCACCACTGCCCTGGCTGTACCTCCCCTTGTGCAGAGCCTCTCCAGGGACCCTATCTTTATGGGAACTGACGTCCAACTGCAACTACCCCTTCCTGAGGCCAACTGTCCTCCAGAACCTTCCATACTTTCTCCCAGTGGTGTAGGGTCATGAGCTCTGTGGGCAGACTGGATCTGGGTGGTGTCTAGCTGGTTCCAGCACAGACCAGTGTAGGCAGGATCACAAAATCAAAACCATGATCCTGACCTGAACCTCGCCCAGTGCAGACCTGCCCCAAACACAGTGTCCACTCCCAGTGCAGACCTGCCCCAAACAGTGTCCACACCCAGTGGAGACCTGCCCCAAACACAGTGTCCATCCCCAGTGGAGACCTACCCCAAACACAGTGTCCACCCCCAGTGCAGACCTGCCCCAAACACAGCGTCCACACCCAGTGGAGACCTGCCCCAAACAGTGTCCACACCCTATGGAGACCTGCCCCAAACACAGTGTCCACCCCCAGTGCAGACCTGCCCCAAACACAGCGTCCACACCCAGTGGAGACCTACCCCAAACACAGAGTGCACATCTGGTGGAGACCTGCCCCAAATAGTGTCCACACCCAGTCATACACCAGTCACATTGCACCCTAACACATCCCCTTACCTCACAAGATCACCAGACACTCACACACTTACCTCACACACACCACCACAGACACCTTAACTCACACACACACCCTTACCTCACACACAGATCACACCACACACACGCACGCACGCACGCACGCAGCCACGGTCCTTCCTTACCGGAGGAAAGCTTGTGCCTTGGCCAGGTGAGGTGTCACCAGCAGGAAGTCATCAACTAGTCGCAGGAGCAGCCTGAAAAGAGGAGACTGAGGCTCACGCTGACACTCAACACTGCCTTGTGAGGATTTCGAGCCCAATACTTTAAACGGCTGAGTTAAAACTGAACAGGGGAATATGCTCTGAAGAGGTGAAGTGACGTCTTTGGTTCCCTCTGTCTCTTTTCCTGCAGCACTGCGGTGTGAACTCCGCGCTCATCTTTGCTAGGCAGGAGCTCTACCACTGAGCGGTCTCTCCTGCCATCTCTGAGCTGGTTATTCTGAAATCAGGTCCTGTGTCAGGATCCTGCCTCCAGGGTCCTGCTCCTCTGGGGTGAGAGGTGCACACCACGCTGGCTCACCTGGTAAGATTGCTCCTGAGAACTTTTTTGCCCCAGCTGGCCTGGAACTGAGATTCTCCCAAGTCAGCCTCCCATGTACTAGGGTGACGAGAGCTCGCATCCACCCCCTGCCAACGTCCCACTGGCTCGGGGTCCCAGCTAACTACCACAGCTGGCTTCTCACACAAACGGACACAGAGCCCACGCAGAGCTGTGGGACGCCAGGGTGCCACACCCATGCAGCACACACAAGTGTGAAAACACTCACCCATCCTGCTGAATCTCAGGCAGCAACTTGTTCTCCATGTCCCCGTAGCACAGGCTGCAGAGGAGCGGAGACAGGATGGAGCCCTGCGGGATCCCCTGGCACTGGACGTAGCTCCTGGCAGAGGGGGCGAGGGCTGGGCGGCAGGCTCTGTGGGCCCTGCCATGTGCCAGACACAAATGCGCACACACCAGGCAGTGTGCACACACAACACCGCCCTCCAAACACACACCAGGCAGTGTGCACACACAACACTGCCCTCCACACACACACCAGGCCGTGTGCACACACAACACCGCCCTCCACACACACACCAGGCCATCTAAACACACAACACCGCCCTCCAAACACACACCAGGCAGTGTGCACACACAACACCGGTCTCCACACACGCACCAGGCAGTGTGCACACACAACACCGCCCTCCACACACACACCAGGCAGTGTGCACACACAACACCACCCTCCACACACATACACCAGGCCGTCTAAACACACAACACCGCCCTCCACACACACACCAGGCCATCTAAACACACAACACCGCCCTCCACACACACACCAGGCAGTGTGCACACACAACACCGCCCTCCACACACACACCAGGCAGTGTGCACACACAACACCGCCCTCCACACACACACCAGGCAGTGTGCACACACAACACCGCCCTCCACACACACACCAGGCAGTGTGCACACACAACACCGCCCTCCACACACACACCAGGCCGTCTAAACACACAACAACCGCCCTCCACACACACACCAGGCCGTCTAAACACACAACACCACCCTCCACACACACACCAGGCCGTCTAAACACACAACACCGCCCTCCGCACACACACCAGGCCGTCTGCACACACAACACCGCCCTCCGCTCCCCCCGCTGGGCTGCTGTGACACCACACTCGGTCCTTGGGTCTTTCATTAACTGAAGGCTAAGCAGGAATCGGACACTCAAACTAAACGTTGCCTGGGTCTCTTGGTTTGCTGGGATTAGTGCGCAGGGCCTTGTGTCCGCTAGCCTTCCTCTGGGGGGCAGAGCCCGGCGTGCACCTCGGCCTGGCTGTCACGACACCCAACCCTCCCGTTATTTGGGGTGGCAGGTGTGCACCACTGACCCCACAGTGGGTGGTGGGACCTTGCCAACTTCTTCCTGGGCCGGCCTCACGTGATGCTCTTCCCACTCTCACTCTCAAGCAGCTAACAGAAGAGCAAGAGGCTCCACTGGCACTGGCTCCAGACTCATTTTTTTAGGTCAGTCATGGGGCTTGAACTCAGGGCCTGGGTGCTCGCTGTGGCTAGCCCTCTACCACTGAGCCAGAGTTATCCACCTCAGGTGACTAACGGACTTTCAAACAACAATCCTCAGATCTCAGTCTCCAGAGTAGCTGGGATTACAGGTGTGAACCACCAATGGCAGGTGTGACCCGTTACTTCTGGAGCCCTTAGCCACTCATAAGGACAGATCACCTCCAGGTGGTGGCCGTATACCAAAAAATAAAAAGCACCACAACTTTTGCTTAGGGAACAGGCTAGTGAGCACCGCGAGGCTAACCAGGCTGGGACGGGCACACACACCACCGAGAGCTGTGCCCAGGGGCAGGCTGCGTGCAGGCTCACCACCCAGGCCCCGTGGCCAGGCCCCTCTGCAGAGAACTCTGGCTCCCTGCAGAGCTGGGATCTCCACACTGCTGGAAGTGCATGGCAGACACCTTGCAGAAAGGCCGACTTGGGGGGGGGGGGGGGGGCAGGCCGTGTCCTGAACCAGATGCAGACGCAGGAAGGGTCAACACGCAGGGACTGTCAGGACACAGAAACCCCTTCACTCAAGCTCCTTTGTCAAGGTTCACTCTGCGGCACACCTGGGATCTGACCTTTCCCAGGATGCATAGTTCACATGTCCAATTACATTTTGATACTGTATATTTATACCACAAACTAACATTAATGGTCACGTGATCCCTAATGAGGTTCGACTTTTGAATGAAAGAGGACCCGGAGCTTCGTGCTCACACTCTGCGTGGTGTGGGGCGGCTCGATGGCACTGGCACCGCAGGGTCCCTGGGGAGCCTGGGGAAGAGCTGCTCTGCAGAGGGCTCGGGAGGGAGGGAGGAGGGGAGGGGAGGAGCAGGCAGGAAGCAGGTCGGCCCCTGCGCCTCCACCCAGCACCGCCACAGGACGCACGGAGAGAGACAAGACAGCAGCGGCTCGCCTACCTGCTGCCGATCCTCACCACGCTGTTGTGCACAAAGTGCAGGAAAAAGTCAAACAGGTCGCTGCTGTCCTCGTTCAGCGAGCAGCTCTGGAAGAGCAACAGGCGGGAGGCAGATATGAGCACAGGGCGTGTGGAATCACAGATACCACAGTACAGCCAGGCCTAGACAGGGCCAAATCCTCTGAAGGCTGCCCTGTGTGGGGCCTGCCATGCCGGGCCCCTAAAACCCATGTAACGCTGCGGAGAGGAAGATGAGCCCAAGGGCTCAGGCGGCTTGGTCCGGGTGAGGCTGGCGACCGGTCAGTACCTTGTCCTCCAAAGCGACATGCTCCAGTGGCCTCCGTACCAAAGCCTCTACCACACCACATGGAGCAACCGAGAGAGAGAGAGGCTGGTCGGTGAGCACACAAGGAAAACAGCGGGGCGCTGAGGCCACACACTCTGCAGGGGGCAGGGCCAGCACACCTCCAACCGAGTCGCGAGCCCAACAGGTGTTGGGGCGCCCTCCCCACCGGGACACCGAGGACCGCCCTCCCCACGGGGACACCGAGGACCGCCCTCCCCACGGGGACACCGAGGACCGCCCTCCCCACAGACACCGAGGACCGCCCTCCCCACGGGGACACCGAGGACCGCCCTCCCCACAGACACCGAGGACCGCCCTCCCCACAGACACCGAGGACCGCCCTCCCCACTGGGACACCGAGGACCGCCCTCCCCACCGGGACACCGAGGACTGCCCTCCCCACCGGGACACCGAGGACCGCCCTCCCCACAGACACCGAGGACCGCCCTCCCCACCAGGACACCGAGGACCACCCTCCCCACAGACACCGAGGACCACCCTCCCCACAGACACCGAGGACCGCCCTCCTCACGGGGACACCGAGGACCGCCCTCCTCACGGACACCGAGGACCGCCCTCCTCACGGACACCGAGGACCGCCCTCCCCATGGACACCGAGGACCGCCCTCTCCATGGATAGCAAGGACCGCCCTCCCCACAGACACCGAGGACCACCCTCCCCACAGACACCGAGGACCGCCCTCCTCACAGGGACACCGAGGACCGCCCTCCTCACGGACACCGAGGACTGCCCTCCCCACGGACACCGAGGACCGCCCTCTCCATGGATAGCAAGGACCGCCCTCCCCACAGACACCGAGGACCACCCTTCTCCACGGATAGCGAGGACCACCCTCCCCACAGACATCGAGGACCACCCTCCTCACGGGGACACCGAGGACCACCCTCTCCACGGATAGTGAGGACCACCCTCCCCACGGACACCGAGGACCGCCCTCTCCACGGATAGCGAGGACCACCCTCCCCACAGACACCGAGGACCACCCTCCTCACGGGGACACCGAGGACCACCCTCTCCATGGATAGTGAGGACCACCCTCCCCACGGACACCGAGGACCGCCCTCTCCACGGATAGTGAGGACCACCCTCCCCACGGACACCGAGGACCGCCCTCCCCACGACACCGAGGACTGCCCTCTCCACGGATAGCGAGGACCACCCTCCCCACAGACACCGAGGACCACCCTCCCCACAGACACCGAGGACCGCCCTCCCCACAGACACCGAGGACCACCCTCCCCACAGACACCGAGGACCGCCCTCCCCACGGACACCGAGGACCGCCCTCTCCATGGATAGCAAGGACCGCCCTCCCCACAGACACCGAGGACCACCCTTCTCCACGGATAGCGAGGACCACCCTCCCCACAGACATCGAGGACCACCCTCTCCACGGATAGTGAGGACCACCCTCCCCACGGACACCGAGGACCGCCCTCCCCACAGACACCGAGGACCGCCCTCCCCACGACACCGAGGACCGCCCTCTCCACGGATAGCGAGGACCACCCTCCCCACAGACACCAAGGACCACCCTCCCCACAGACACCGAGGACCACTCTCCCCCCGGGGACTGTCACTCGGGACATCTTCCCCACGGACACCGTCACTCGGGACACCTTCCCCACGGGGACCATCACTCGGGACACTTTCCCCACGGACATTGTCACTTGGGACACCTCCCCCATGGGGACCGTCACTGGGGACACCTCCCCCACGGGGACCGTCACTGGGGACACCTCCCCCACGGACACCGTCACTGAGGACACCTCCCACAGGGACCTCCAATGAGGACACCCCTCCTGTGGACTGTCATGGGAGGCCTTGGCCAGGGCCCCGGGGACCTGCTCAATGACGACGGCGTCCCTCAGCGCGCTGGTGTCCTGCAGATGCTCCAGGAACTGGTGCATGTAGGGCTGGAGGTCTGTGAAGGTGGAGACCTGTGGGTAAGAAGAGGGCGGTGTGAGGGCGCAGGCGGGGCCTGGGCACAGTTCCCGTCGGAGACAGAGTCAAGAGTCCTGCCTGCAGGAGCCACAAAATCAGCAGGCTGCTGTCCTACCCCAGAGCTCCATGACAGACCTCCACCGCTGGCCACAGGACACACAGTGACCCCTCTGTCCAGGATGGGTGTGAGGAACAGACACCGTAGACAGGAGAACACTGCCCTGGCACCGGTGGTGACCATTTCTATATCCCAGTCACCAGGACCCTTTCTGAAGAGGGTCTTGGAGCAAGACATGCGGCTTCAGATGCTCATGTAGAAAAGAAAGTACAAATACCATCATCAAAGCTCACACCTCAAGACGACAAAGAGATCAACAGAAGGGAGCAGAGCTGGAGAAAAACCCAGCTCAGCAGAAAGGAAAGCCAGGTTAACGTGGCAGCTCCTGGAAAGACTGAGCAGTGAGACGCAGAGCCCTACAGAAGCCAGGAGCTCAAGCCTAGGGAGCACAAGCACTCAGGCCTGGCCAGGGGGTGCAGGGAATGACCCTGAGCAGACCACAGCCACCCAGCCCACACGCACGCGGAAGGCTGCGGACACCGGCTTGTCTTGAAGCCATCCCTATGTACGTACTCACTCTTTCTAGACCTGAGCCTCCAGGAAATCCTTCCGCCGCTGCACTACGGGGAGGCCCAGGCCACAACCTGCAGGCCCTAGGGCTGGGAAGGTGGCTCAGCGGTAGAGCGCTTGCCTTGCATGCCTGAGGCCCTGGGTTTGATTCCTCAGCACTACATACGCAGAAAAAGCTGGAAGTGTCGCTGTGGCTCAAGTGGTAGAGCGCTCGCCTTGAGCTGAAGAGCTGAGGGACAGCGCCCAGGCCCAGAGTTCAGGCCCCACAACCAACAAAAACCTGCCAGGTCCCCCCACACTGAGGGCAGGGCCCCAAGCCACACGCTTCTCCAGTGTGCTACCCTACAGACACACACCAAGACAGCTCATCTGAGCCAAGTACATCCACGCCCCCAACGCTTCCCCGCGGACCCCACGTGTGGTCTTACGTGTCTCCTGAAGGACCTGTGGACGCGCCCCTGGACGGCCCCCTGGACCACGGCGTAGTGGCGGATGCAGTAGGTGTTCTCTCGGGGCCTGATGGCTCTCGCCACCACCTCTGCCAGTCTGTCGTGGGGGAGGGCCTCATACGCCCCGGTCACATCCGCCTGCACCATTCACAGAGCTCTGAGTGCGGGGCCTTGCCAGCAGCCGGGGGTCCCGCTGGCTGAACCCTGGCTGAGCCTAGAATCGGGTTCTAGGCCCACGCCCTTGCCCACAGCCCTGTCCCTGGCCCCCTCTGCCCCCAGTGGGACCCCAAGAGCAGGTCCCACCCTCACACCGCACCAGCCCAGAACGGGACCCACAGGGCAAAAGAGGCCTGTGCTGACCCAGCTGACCACACTCGGGCACCAGAGCCCTGCTCACCAGCTCCATCTCAGAAGGGAGACGGGACCCAGTGTGATCATCCCTGCTTTAAAGGAGCGAGGGAAGCTGGCACACAATGCCCATGGGGCCTGGGCAAGCACAAGCCTCTGCCTGAGGGGAGGGGCGTCCCAGGACTGGGGTCACCCTCGCAGTCTGCTCCTGGGGGAACCCAGACCCAGCGTCCTGGTCCATGGGAAGTGGGGGGCAGGGAAGGTGGTCGCGCCCAGTGGCAGCCAGGACCAGCAGAGTCCCGACACCAGCTGCTCCAAAATCCCAGAATCCAGACCAGGGAGAGGGGGTGCGGGGGGGGGGGGGAGGGGGCGCAGCCCGGTGCCCACCTTCACGAAGTACAGCCTGGGCGCGGGGTTCTGGGAACGCACCCGCAGCACCCAGGCCCTCCAGGCGGTGAAGATGTCGTCTAGGCCCAGCACGGAGGCCCCCAGCAGCTCGGGACGCCGCATCCGCTCGTAGGTGAGCACGCTGAACAGAGTCTTGATGTGCTGGGCGAAACGCTGGGCCTGGGCCACAGGGTGTGGTGGGCACAGAGGGGCATGGTCAGCAGAAGGGGACCTGCTGCTTCCCCAGGGGCCGCTGAGCCCCCAGAACGAGCCCCTGCCCGCTGCAGTTCCGGAAGGCTCACAGCATCCCAGTAACTCACTGACTGGACATGGGACCCTCACCTGACCACTGCCTCCACCCAGTGCATGTGGGCACTACCTCCCAGGAGCAGGAGTGGGCGGGGACCCCTGAAGAGGGGCCCTGACCTCAGGACACAGCCCGGCAGGGCGTGGACCCTCGTTTTCACTCATAGCAGAGACAGAACTGGATCCCAGTCGAGTCAAGGCGCCGTGGCACCTTTGCTTTGTCCCTTGGGAGACACCCCGTGCCACACAGGCACGGGAGGCAGCGCCGCCAGCACACGCAGCCCGAGCTGGCAGGCACCGCTACGCGGCCGCTGCTCTGTGGTGTTGTCCCTGGCATGAAGAGCATGCAGCACACGGGCCTGTCGGGGCGTGGGTGAACCCTGCCTGGAACAGCGGACCCCACTGTTCTGGAACCCATCTCCTGCCCACCAGGCTGGGCAGGACGCCATCATCTGCTCCCCAGCCCGCCCCGGCCCACGGGGTGCATGGGCCTCTCCTGGGCCACCGCCCACGGGTTCCACTAACACGGCACGGGAGCGTGGTCACCTTCTGCTCTCTGCAGACAGCTCTGGGGCCCACAATGTAGTCCATGTTCACGATGGGGCGAAGCCCACAGGGCTTAGGGATGAAGCGGAGTCTGGAGGTGGGCAGGGCCGGTCTGGCCACCTGATGTTGTCTGACCTCGGAGCCTGACAACTCCCGCAGCCGCACCCTCTCCAAGTGCTGCCTGCAACGGAAGGGTTTGAGGAGCCATGCCAGACACAGGGGAGGAGAGCAGGGTGCTAGAGACATGGGGGAGGAGAGCAGGGTGCTAGAGACACGGGGGAGGAGAGCAGGGTGCTAGAGACACGGGGGAGGAGAGCAGGGTGCTAGAGACACGGGGGAGGAGAGCAGGTTGCTAGAGACACGGGGGAGGAGAGCAGGGTGCTAGAGACACGGCAGAGGAGAGCAGGGTGCCAGAGACACGGGGGAGGAGAGCAGGGTGCTAGAGACACGGGGGAGGAGAGCAGGGTGCTAGAGACACAGGGGAGGAGAGCAGGGTGCCAGAGACACGAGGGAGGAGAGCAGGGTGCCAGAGACACAGGGGAGGAGAGCAGGGTGCTAGAGACACGGGGGAGGAGAGCAGGGTGCCAGAGACACGGGGGAGGAGAGCAGGGTGCCAGAGACACAGGGGAGGAGAGAAGGGTGCTAGAGACACAGGGGAGGAGAGCAGGGTGCTAGAGACACGGGGGAGGAGAGCAGGGTGCTAGAGACACAGGAGAGAGGAGAGCAGGGTGCTAGAGACACGGGAGAGGAGAGCAGGGTGCTAGAGACACGGGAGAGGAGAGCAGGGTGCTAGAGACACGGGGGAGGAGAGCAGGGTGCCAGAGACACGGGGGAGGAGAGCAGGGTGCTAGAGACACGGGAGAGGAGAGAAGGGTGCCAGAGACACGGGGGAGGAGAGCAGGGTGCTAGAGACACGGGGGAGGAGAGCAGGGTGCTAGAGACACAGGGGAGGAGAGCAGGGTGCCAGAGACACGGGGGAGGAGAGCAGGGTGCCAGAGACACGGGGGAGGAGAACAGGGTGCTAGAGACACGGGGGAGGAGAGCAGGGTGCCAGAGACACGGGGGAGGAGAGCAGGGTGCTAGAGACACGGGAGAGGAGAGCAGGGTGCCTGAGACACGGGGGAGGAGAGCAGGGTGCTAGAGACACGGGAGAGGAGAGCAGGGTGCCAGAGACATAGGGGAGGAGAGCAGGGTGCTAGGACACGGGGGAGGAGAGCAGGGTGCCAGAGACACGGGAGAGGAGAGCAGGGTGCCAGAGACACGGGGGAGGAGAGCAGGGTGCCAGAGACACGGGAGAGGAGAGCAGGGTGCCAGAGACACGGGGGAGGAGAGCAGGGTGCCAGAGACACAGGGGAGGAGAGCAGGGTGCTAGAGAGACGGGAGAGGAGAGCAGGGTGCTAGAGACACGGGAGAGGAGAGCAGGATGCTAGAGACACGGGGGAGGAGAGCAGGGTGCTAGAGACACGGGGGAGGAGAGCAGGGTGCCAGAGACACGGGGGAGGAGAGCAGGGTGCTAGAGACACGGGAGAGGAGAGCAGGGTGCCAGAGACACAGGGGAGGACAGAAGGGTGCTAGAGACAAGGGGGAGGAGAGCAGGGTGCCAGAGACACAGGGGAGGAGAGCAGGGTGCTAGAGACAAGGGAGAGGAGAGCAGGGTGCCAGAGACACGGGGGAGGAGAGCAGGGTGCTAGAGACACGGGGGAGGAGAGCAGGGTGCTAGAGACACAGGGGAGGAGAGCAGGGTGCCAGAGACACGGGGGAGGAGAGCAGGGTGCCAGAGACACAGGGGAGGAGAGCAGGGTGCTAGAGACACGGGGGAGGAGAGCAGGGTGCCAGAGACACGGGGGAGGAGAGAAGGGTGCTAGAGACACAGGGGAGGAGAGCAGGGTGCTAGAGACACGGGGGAGGAGAGCAGGGTGCTAGAGACACGGGGGAGGAGAGCAGGGTGCTAGAGACACGGGAGAGGAGAGCAGGGTGCTAGAGACACGGGGGAGGAGAGCAGGGTGCTAGAGACACGGGAGAGGAGAGCAGGGTGCTAGAGACAGGGGGGAGGAGAGCAGGGTGCTAGAGACACGGGGGAGGAGAGCAGGGTGCTAGAGACACGGGAGAGGAGAGCAGGGTGCTAGAGACACGGGAGAGGAGAGCAGGGTGCCAGAGACACGGGGGAGGAGAGCAGGGTGCTAGAGACATGGGGGAGGAGAGCAGGGTGCTAGAGACACGGGAGAGGAGAGCAGGGTGCTAGAGACACGGGGGAGGAGAGCAGGGTGCTAGAGACACGGGGGAGGAGAGGAGGGTGCTAGAGACACGGGAGAGGAGAGCAGGGTGCTAGAGACACGGGAGAGGAGAGCAGGGTGCTAGAGACACGGGGGAGGAGAGCAGGGTGCCAGAGACACGGGGTAGGAGAGCAGGGTGCCAGAGACACGGGGGAGGAGAGCAGGGTGCCAGAGACACAGGAGAGGAGAGCAGGGTGCCAGAGACACGGGAGAGGAGAGCAGGGTGCTAGAGACACGGGAGAGGAGAGAAGGGTGCCAGAGACACGGGGGAGGAGAGCAGGGTGCTAGAGACACGGGGGAGGAGAGCAGGGTGCTAGAGACACGGGGGAGGAGAGCAGGGTGCCAGAGACACGGGGGAGGAGAGCAGGGTGCTAGAGACACGGGGGAGGAGAACAGGGTGCTAGAGACACGGGGGAGGAGAGCAGGGTGCCAGAGACACGGGGGAGGAGAGCAGGGTGCTAGAGACACGGGAGAGGAGAGCAGGGAGCCTGAGACACGGGGGAGGAGAGCAGGGTGCTAGAGACACGGGAGAGGAGAGCAGGGTGCCAGAGACACAGGGGAGGAGAGCAGGGTGCTAGGACACGGGGGAGGAGAGCAGGGTGCCAGAGACACGGGAGAGGAGAGCAGGGTGCCAGAGACACGGGGGAGGAGAGCAGGGTGCCAGAGACACGGGAGAGGAGAGCAGGGTGCCAGAGACACGGGAGAGGAGAGCAGGATGCTAGAGACACGGGGGAGGAGAGCAGGGTGCTAGAGACACGGGAGAGGAGAGCAGGGTGCTAGAGACACGGGAGAGGAGAGCAGGGTGCTAGAGACACGGGAGAGGAGAGCAGGGTGCTAGAGACACGGGGGAGGAGAGCAGGGTGCCAGAGACACAGGGGAGGAGAGAAGGGTGCTAGAGACACGGGGGAGGAGAGCAGGGTGCTAGAGACACGGGGGAGGAGAGCAGGGTGCCAGAGACACAGGGGAGGAGAGAAGGGTGCTAGAGACACAGGGGAGGAGAGCAGGGTGCTAGAGACACGGGGGAGTAGAGCAGGGTGCTAGAGACACGGGGGAGGAGAGCAGGGTGCCAGAGACACGGGGGAGGAGAGCAGGGTGCTAGAGACACGGGAGAGGAGAGCAGGGTGCCAGAGACACAGGGGAGGACAGAAGGGTGCTAGAGACACGGGGGAGGAGAGCAGGGTGCCAGAGACACAGGGGAGGAGAGCAGGGTGCTAGAGACACGGGGGAGGAGAGCAGGGTGCTAGAGACACGGGGGAGGAGAGCAGGGTGCCAGAGACACAGGGGAGGACAGAAGGGTGCTAGAGACACAGGGGAGGAGAGCAGGGTGCTAGAGACAAGGGGGAGGAGAGCAGGGTGCCAGAGACACAGGGGAGGAGAGCAGGGTGCTAGAGACAAGGGAGAGGAGAGCAGGGTGCCAGAGACACGGGGGAGGAGAGCAGGGTGCTAGAGACACGGGGGAGGAGAGCAGGGTGCTAGAGACACAGGGGAGGAGAGCAGGGTGCCAGAGACACGGGGGAGGAGAGCAGGGTGCCAGAGACACAGGGGAGGAGAGCAGGGTGCTAGAGACACGGGGGAGGAGAGCAGGGTGCCAGAGACACAGGGGAGGAGAGAAGGGTGCTAGAGACACAGGGGAGGAGAGCAGGGTGCTAGAGACACGGGGGAGGAGAGCAGGGTGCTAGAGACACGGGGGAGGAGAGCAGGGTGCTAGAGACACAGGGGAGGAGAGCAGGGTGCCAGAGACACGGGGGAGGACAGCAGGGTGCTAGAGACACGGGAGAGGAGAGCAGGGTGCTAGAGACACGGGAGAGGAGAGCAGGGTGCTAGAGACACGGGAGAGGAGAGCAGGGTGCTAGAGACACGGGAGAGGAGAGCAGGGTGCTAGAGACACGGGGGAGGAGAGCAGGGTGCCAGAGACACAGGGGAGGAGAGAAGGGTGCTAGAGACACGGGGGAGGAGAGCAGGGTGCTAGAGACACGGGGGAGGAGAGCAGGGTGCCAGAGACACAGGGGAGGAGAGAAGGGTGCTAGAGACACAGGGGAGGAGAGCAGGGTGCTAGAGACACGGGGGAGTAGAGCAGGGTGCTAGAGACACGGGGGAGGAGAGCAGGGTGCCAGAGACACGGGGGAGGAGAGCAGGGTGCTAGAGACACGGGAGAGGAGAGCAGGGTGCCAGAGACACAGGGGAGGACAGAAGGGTGCTAGAGACACGGGGGAGGAGAGCAGGGTGCCAGAGACACAGGGGAGGAGAGCAGGGTGCTAGAGACACGGGGGAGGAGAGCAGGGTGCTAGAGACACGGGGGAGGAGAGCAGGGTGCCAGAGACACAGGGGAGGACAGAAGGGTGCTAGAGACACAGGGGAGGAGAGCAGGGTGCTAGAGACAAGGGGGAGGAGAGCAGGGTGCCAGAGACACAGGGGAGGAGAGCAGGGTGCTAGAGACAAGGGAGAGGAGAGCAGGGTGCCAGAGACACGGGGGAGGAGAGCAGGGTGCTAGAGACACGGGGGAGGAGAGCAGGGTGCTAGAGACACAGGGGAGGAGAGCAGGGTGCCAGAGACACGGGGGAGGAGAGCAGGGTGCCAGAGACACAGGGGAGGAGAGCAGGGTGCTAGAGACACGGGGGAGGAGAGCAGGGTGCCAGAGACACAGGGGAGGAGAGAAGGGTGCTAGAGACACAGGGGAGGAGAGCAGGGTGCTAGAGACACGGGGGAGGAGAGCAGGGTGCTAGAGACACGGGAGAGGAGAGCAGGGTGCTAGAGACACGGGAGAGGAGAGCAGGGTGCCAGAGACACGGGGGAGGACAGCAGGGTGCTAGAGACAAGGGAGAGGAGAGCAGGGTGCCAGAGACACGGGGGAGGAGAGCAGGGTGCCAGAGACACGGGGGAGGACAGCAGGGTGCTAGAGACAAGGGAGAGGAGAGCAGGGTGCCAGAGACACGGGGGAGGAGAGCAGGGTGCTAGAGACACGGGGGAGGAGAGCAGGGTGCTAGAGACACAGGGGAGGAGAGCAGGGTGCCAGAGACACGGGGGAGGAGAGCAGGGTGCCAGAGACACGGGAGAGGAGAGCAGGGTGCTAGAGACACAGGAGAGGAGAGCAGGGTGCTAGAGACACAGGGGAGGAGAGCAGGGTGCTAGAGACACGGGGGAGGAGAGCAGGGTGCTAGAGACACAGGGGAGGAGAGCAGGGTGCCAGAGACACGGGGGAGGAGAGCAGGGTGCCAGAGACACGGAAGAGGAGAGCAGGGTGCTAGAGACACGGGGGAGGAGAGCAGGGTGCTAGAGACACGGGGGAGGAGAGCAGGGTGCTAGAGACAGGAGAGAGGAGAGCAGGGTGCCAGAGACACGGGGGAGGAGAGCAGGGTGCCAGAGACACAGGAGAGGAGAGCAGGGTGCCAGAGACACGAGGGAGGAGAGCAGGGTGCTAGAGACACGGGAGAGGAGAGCAGGGTGCTAGAGACACGGGAGAGGAGAGCAGGGTGCCAGAGACACAGGAGAGAGGAGAGCAGGGTGCTAGAGACAGGAGAGAGGAGAGCAGGATGCTAGAGACAGGAGAGAGGAGAGCAGGGTGCCAGAGACGCAGGGGAGGAGAGCAGGATGCTAAAGACACGGGAGAGGAGAGCAGGGTGCTAGAGACACAGGGGAGGAGAGCAGGGTGCCAGAGACACGGGAGAGAGGAGAGCAGGGTGCCAGAGACACAGGAGAGGAGAGCAGGGTGCCAGAGACACGGGAGAGGAGAGCAGGTTGCCAGAGACACGGGGGAGGAGAGCAGGGTGCCAGAGACACAGGAGAGGAGAGCAGGGTGCCAGAGACACGGGATAGGAGAGCAGGGTGCTAGAGACACGGGAGAGAAGAGCAGGGTGCTAGAGACACGGGGGAGGAGAGCAGGGTGCTAGAGACACGGGAGAGGAGAGCAGGGTGCCAGAGACACGGGGGAGGAGAGCAGGGTGCTAGAGACACGGGGGAGGAGAGCAGGGTGCTAGAGACACGGGAGAGGAGAGCAGGGTGCTAGAGACACGGGGGAGGAGAGCAGGGTGCTAGAGACACGGGGGAGGAGAGCAGGGTGCTAGAGACACGGGGGAGGAGAGCAGGGTGCTAGAGACACGGGAGAGGAGAGCAGGGTGCTAGAGACACGGGAGAGGAGAGCAGGGTGCCAGAGACACGGGGGAGGAGAGCAGGGTGCTAGAGACACGGGGGAGGAGAGCAGGGTGCTAGAGACACGGGAGAGGAGAGCAGGGTGCTAGAGACACGGGGGAGGAGAGCAGGGTGCTAGAGACACGGGGGAGGAGAGGAGGGTGCTAGAGACACGGGAGAGGAGAGCAGGGTGCTAGAGACACGGGAGAGGAGAGCAGGGTGCTAGAGACACGGGGGAGGAGAGCAGGGTGCCAGAGACACGGGGGAGGAGAGCAGGGTGCCAGAGACACGGGGGAGGAGAGCAGGGTGCCAGAGACACAGGAGAGGAGAGCAGGGTGCCAGAGACACGGGAGAGGAGAGCAGGGTGCTAGAGACACGGGAGAGAAGAGCAGGGTGCCAGAGACACGGGGGAGGAGAGCAGGGTGCTAGAGACACGGGAGAGGAGAGCAGGGTGCCAGAGACACGGGAGAGGAGAGCAGGGTGCTAGAGACACGGGGGAGGAGAGCAGGGTGCTAGAGACACGTGGGAGGAGAGCAGGGTGCTAGAGACACGGGAGAGGAGAGCAGGGTGCTAGAGACACGGGAGAGGAGAGCAGGGTGCTAGAGACACGGGGGAGGAGAGCAGGGTGCTAGAGACACGGGGGAGGAGAGCAGGGTGCTAGAGACACGGGAGAGGAGAGCTGGGTGCTAGAGACACGGGAGAGGAGAGCAGGGTGCCAGAGACACGGGGGAGGAGAGCAGGGTGCTAGAGACACGGGGGAGGAGAGCAGGGTGCTAGAGACACGGGAGAGGAGAGCAGGGTGCTAGAGACACGGGAGAGGAGAGCAGGGTGCTAGAGACACGGGGGAGGAGAGCAGGGTGCCAGAGACACGGGGGAGGAGAGCAGGGTGCCAGAGACACGGGGGAGGAGAGCAGGGTGCTAGAGACACGGGGGAGGAGAGCAGGGTGCCAGCGACACGGTAGAGGAGAGGGATGCTAGAGACACGGGAGAGGAGAGCAGGGTGCTAGAGACACGGGAGAGGAGAGCAGGGTGCTAGAGACACGGGGGAGGAGAGCAGGGTGCTAGAGACAGGAGAGAGGAGAGCAGGGTGCCAGAGACACGGGGGAGGAGAGCAGGGTGCCAGAGACACGGGGGAGGAGAGCAGGGTGCTAGAGGCACAGGGGAGGAGAGCAGGGTGCCAGCGACACAGGGGAGGAGAGCAGGGTGCCAGATACACGGGGGAGGAGAGCAGGGTGCCAGAGACACAGGGGAGGAGAGAAGGGTGCTAGAGACACGGGAGAGGAGAGCAGGGTGCTAGAGACAGGAGAGAGGAGAGCAGGGTGCCAGAGACACGGGGGAGGAGAGCAGGGTGCTAGAGACACGGGAGAGGAGAGCAGGGTGCTAGAGACACGGGAGAGGAGAGCAGGGTGCCAGAGACACGGGAGAGGAGAGCAGGGTGCTAGAGACACGGGAGAGGAGAGCAGGGTGCTAGAGACACGGGAGAGGAGAGCAGGGTGCTAGAGACACGGGGGAGGAGAGCAGGGTGCCAGAGACACGGGGGAGGAGAGCAGGGTGCCAGAGACACGGGGGAGAGAGCAGGGTGCTAGAGACACGGGAGAGGAGAGTAGGGTGCTAGAGACACGGGGAGGAGAGCAGGGTGCTAGAGACACGGGGGAGGAGAGCAGGGTGCCAGGGACACGGGGGAGGAGAGCAGGGTGCTAGAGACATGGGAGAGGAGAGCAGGGTGCTAGAGACACGGGAGTCGAGCGGAGGGTGGCGTGGGACCACAGGTTCCCATCAGAGCTGAGGGCGCGCCAGGGGACGTCAGTCACCAGACCCCTGGCTGCAGGCAGAACTAGCCAACACCCAGCCGCCCAGACCGGCTCCTCCCCACATCCTCGTGTAAGAAAGATGGTTGTGGCAGCTTGTCAGCTGACACCATCCCCGGAAGCGTAGTGTTTGCCCACTGTAACTTTCATTCAGCCTGAATTCCCTCTACGCTAGGGTGCCGAGACAGACTAGCCTGAACTTCTCACTTCTCAGGCAAGAATGTGGGGTCTCCGGGCAGTCGGTGCGCCCACCCTGGCCAGCTAGGTCAGGACTTGAATCGGGTCCCTGCTGCACTCCGCCGGGGCCCACAGCTCTGAGCCTGCAGCATCACAAAGCTGGCGAGGCGGCGTCCATGGTACCTGACTCCAATGCTTTGCAGCTGGCTCCACACACTCTTGCGGTAGAAGAAGAGCTTGTTCTTCTGGAACGTCGTCTCGGTGACATAAAAGAAGGACTTGAGGAGCTCAACCACATACGTGTCCATCAGCCAGAACAGGAACTTGGCCAAAACCCCCTCCCTCCGCCGGTGCTCCGCAGCTGGCACACAGCCATCCCCTGGAACCAGAGATGCGGAAGGACTCATCCTAGATCCTCAACCTCCAACGCGAGGCCCATGTCCCACTGCACGGGACATGGAGTTGCGACGGACGGCATCTTCCGTCCACCCTGCCAAGAGCCTGCCAGGCTCTTACCAAATACAGTGTTAAGCTAGTTACATCTTTCCTGTTTGTATGTGTTTAGCACTGCTACTGGAAGACTTAAAATTACACTTATCTGTTGGGCACTAGTGGGTCACACCTGTCAGTCTAGCTACTCAAGAAGCTGAGATCTGAGGACTGAAGTTCTCAGCCAGCCTAGAAGGAAAACCTTGAGATTCTTATCTCCAAATAACTGCCAAAGCAAACTGGAAAGGGAACTATTGCTAAGGTGGTAGAGCACTCAGTGGTAAGGCTTGAGCAAAAAAAGCTAAGGGACAAAGCTAAGCATTCAAATCACAGTACAGGAACAAAAATACACACACACACAGGCACGCCTCTCAGATCACACTCCTACAGAACACGATGGCTTTGACACAGACTGGAAAAGGTAGAATGTACTCTCCACCACCTACAGCTGCTGCTGCTGCCACAAAGAAGCAAAGCAGCACGCTGGTGGTTCACACCCATAATCCCAGCTACCTGCTGGGGAGGCTAAGACTTGGAGGATCATGGCTCAAAGCCAGCATGGGATAGAATGTCCTTGAGACTCCACTGGCAGTTAACCAGAAAAAAAGCTGGCCTGGAGGCACAGCTAAAGTGGTAGAGAAACAGCTGTGAGCAAGCAAGCCAAGTGAGTGCAAGGCCCCCACGTTCAAACTCTAGTACTGACAATGTATACATATGTGTGTATCTATACACACACACACACACACACACACACACACACACACACACACACACACACATAAAGTAGAAAGCGACCTTAGAAAACAATAGTTTAAGTTGGAGATAAGGCACCCAAGATAGATCTAAGAATGGAAAATAGCACCTTAACTGAAGTGGTAGTCTAAGTTCGCATATATGCTATAGCCCTTACTGCTCAGGAGAAAGGTGACATCAAAGACTTAGTTAAAAATATAGGAAACAACTAAGAAAAGCAACAGTATGCATAACTTCTAACTATCCACTGGCAAAAACAGAACAAAAACAGAGCAAGTAAATGTTTATCGTTACCCAAAAGATGACAAGAAAACAAAGATATAAAGCATATAGAAAGCAAACTGAAAGCCAGGCGCCAGTGGCTCATGCCAGTAATCTTAGCTACTTAGAAGGCTAAGATCCGAAGATCGAGGTTCAAAGCCAGCCCAAGCAGGAAAGTCTATGAGACTCTTATCTCCAGTTAACCAGAAAACCAGAAGTGATTTTGTGGCTCAAGTGGTAGAGAGCTCACTTTGAGCTGAAGAGTTCAGGGATAGTACCCAGGCCCAGAGTTCAAGCCCCATGACCAACAGAAAGAAAGAAAGAAAGGAAGAAAGAAAGAAAGGAAGGAAGGAAGAAAGAAAGAAAGAAAGAAAAGAGGGGGGAAGGAAGGAAGGAAGGAAGGAAGGAAGGAAGGAAGGAAGGAAGGAAGGAAGGAAGGAAGGAAGGAAGGAAGAAAGGAAACTGAAAAGGGGTGGCATCTGCCCAGAACTCTGGAGGCTGTGGCATAAGGACCATGAGTTCAAGGACAGCCTAAACTACAAAAATCCAAGGACTAGGGATATAGCTCAGCAAAAGAGCACCCACCTGGCATGCGCAGGGTCCTGGGATAAGTCCCAGAACTACAGGCAGAAGAACACATTCATGAGTCACACACTCAGCCATCCAGTTAAACAACAACTGTCAAGCTAGGTCTGCAACAAATATCATCTATACACCATTGAAAAGATGCACCTAAACTAAGACAGTTAAAGTTTGAAAGAAGTAATTAGAAGAAAAAAGATACAGAAGGCAACTACTAATCAAAAGCAAGCCTAGTCCACCAACACTTAGAGCAGCTAAAAAAAATGGAGTGGGGCCAGGCATCAATGGCTCACACCTGTAATCCTAGCTACTCAGGAGGCTGAGATCTGAGGATCACAGTTCACAGCCAGGCTGGGCAGGGAAGTTCTGAGATTCTCATCTCCAATATGCCACTCAGAAAAAGGCGGAAGTGGCGCTGTGACTCAAGTGGTAGCATGCTAGCCTTGATAGAAAGCTCAGGGACAGTGCCCAGGTCCCAAGTTCAAGCTCCAGGACTCATACCAAGAAAAGCAAATCCTTTATTAGCTGTTACACCATAAATTAAGCTGTTCTTTTATTTTTTTTCTCTGCCGGTACTAGAACTTGAACTCAGGGCTTGGGCTCTGTCCCTGAACCTCTCTGCACTCAAGGCTAGCGCTCTACCAGTTGAATCACAGCACCACTTCCAGCTCTGTGGTACTGAGGAATGGAATCGTGGGCTTCACACATGCTAGGCGAGCACTCTACCACTGAGACACGTTCCCAGCCCTAGCCTCTGCTCTTTAGCTTACTTTTCTTTCCATACTTTTAGCAGTGCTGCTTCATGTTTTGTTGTTGTTGTTGTTTTTTGATCGGTCGTAGGGCTTGAATTCTGGGCTTGGACGCTGTCCCTGTGCTCTTTAGCTCAAGGCGAGCGCTCTACCACTTGAGCCACAGCGCCACCTCCAGTTTTCTAGTGGTTTACTGGAGATAAGAGTTTCACGGACTTTCCTCCCGGGGCTGGCTTTGAACTGCGATCCTCAGATCTTAGCCTCCTGAGTAGCTAGGATTACAGGTGTGAGCCACTGGCTCATGTTTTGTTTATTGGAGTGCTGGGGTTTGACCCCAGATCCCTGGTAATGTTAAGCAACTGCTCTACCACTGAGCTAGGTTCCCAGCAGGGCCTGGATACTGATACTGACCCTGAGCTTTTGTGTTCAAGGCTAGCACTCTACCGTTGGAGCCACAGCCCCACTTCCAGCTTTTTGGTGATTAATTGAAGATAGGAATCTCACAGACTTTCCTGCCCAGGCTGGCTTTGAACCACAATCCTCAGATCTCAGCTTCTTGAGTAGGCATTTGGCTTCTATGAGACTCTTAATCCCACTTAAGCACCAAAGAGCTGGTAGTGGACTTATGGCCCAAGTGGTAGAGTACCAGCCTTGAACAAAAAAAGCTGACACAAAGTGCTCAGTCGCTGAGTTCCAGCCCCAATACTGGCACAGGAAGAAAGGAAGGAAGGAAGAAAGGAAGGAAGGAAGGGAGGGAGGGAGGGAGGGAAGGAAGGATGGAGACTACAAACATCAGATGAATTAACGAAACCCAAAAGAAAGACCTGACAGGACTAGTAAGTTCCCACAGACACTGGAACTCACACTAACAGCCAACAAACAGGAGTCTAGGAGCAGCAGAGAGACATTCAACCACACCTCAAGAGAGAAAGCGGTTGTGCAGCTGGACCCAGCGACGGGAGACTGGAACAGAGCCCGGACACAGAGTCACTCACAGCTGTGCAGCCAGTGCTGCCGACCCTGTGCTTGGGGAAGGCTGGGGACAAAGGCCAAGTGGGAGGCCCTCATGACCTTCGGCTGCAGTCCTGTGGCACCGTCTTCAGCAACACTGGACAGCAGGTGTGGACTGCGGAGGATGAGCCAGCCCAAGAGCAGGGCCGGGGCCGCAGGCAGCACAGTGGTCAGCTCCAGCTGACAGGGGCCAGGGAGACCTAACGCTGCTGCTGGACCAGCCAACAGCAGGGCAAAGCCCCAGGGTGCGAAGCTGTTGCCCATAGCATTTTCCCGGCCGGTGAGCAACCTGTTCTTTGTGGCCAGACGTGTCTCTGAGGATGGGGCGTGGGTTTCAAAGGCTACCTTGGGAAGATGGCTCTGCCATCTTTCTTTTAGGAGCTGTAAATGTCCTGGGAGTCTGAGGGAGAGATTAAATGGAAAGCAAGCCTGGTCTACTTTGGCTGCCATCCATCTTAATAAGGAGGTGGAGGTGGTTCCTTCCACACCTGAAACAATTGCTGACCAGAAGGCAGGGCAGGGAGAGACTGGAGTGCACCAATCTCAGCATCAAATCTAGAAACCAGGGGGAGGCAGGCATGGCCGAGCATGGACGCACAGCCAGGCCCCACACACGGCCAGCCTGGCCGCGGCCGCCACCCTCCCCCAAGCGCATAGTCAGCTTAGGGAGATGGCAGCTAAGGATCAGCCCTCCAGGGTCATGGACTGGAGCAAGGAAGGGCTCTGCATAAGGAAGGAGTCGGGGAGGGAGTCAAGACGTAAAGCAAACCAGGCCCTGATGGCTCATGTCTCCAACTGTAACCTCAGCTACTCAGGAGGCTGAGATCTGAGGATTGCCAGGACCAAAAAGCCTGGTATTGGTATCTCCACTAAACTACCAAAATGAAGCCGAAGTGGAGCTGAGGCTCAAGTGGCAGAGCGGTAGCCTCGCTTGAGCAAAGGAAGCCCAGGGAGAACACATGCCCTGAGTTCAAGCCCCAGGAACCAACGTAAAAACAAAACCTTAATGCACAGCAGTACCCTGAAGATGAGAGCCCGTCTATCAGCAGAGCACTGCTTCCAGGGGCAGCCCTCACGGCTACAGGTGAGGGGCCGGGCGTGTAGGTGCTGACCTCTCGGGCGGAGCTCCGGGAGGCCTGCTGCCCCTGGCCAGGGGCGTCCCAGCTGTTCCTCTGGCCCCTGGGTCCAGCCCATGTGCCTGGCGGGTAGGAAAGCAGGCGGGAGTCTGGATGTGTCTGCCCACTGACCCCGAGGGGGCCCGAGGCAGAGATCAGACAAAATCCACCCAACCTCCCGAGCACCCGTCACTGTGCCAGGAATCCCGGCTCTTGCCAACCACCCAGCGGCGCCCGGGGCTCCCCACGCCGACACCTCGGCGCCGCGTGTCTCCCCGTGTCCGGCTCACCTGCGCGGCCGCGGAGCCAGGCGCAGTCCCGCGCCTTCACCTTCCAGGTCAGCTCCCGCAGCGACAGCCGGGCGTGCTTCCCCAGGGCCACCAGCTTCTTGGTGTTCTTCAGGAAGCGGCGGCGGTTGTGGCCGGAGCCCCACAGGCCGGCGGGCACCAGGCGGCGGAGGCAGGCCCGCAGGAAGGCGTACACCTGCCAGGCGCTGCTGTGCGCGCGCAGCAGCCGCAGCGGCTCGCGCGAGGCGGCGGCGGCGGCGCGGCGCGGGCAGTGCGCGCGCAGCAGCCGGCCGTAGGGGCACCGCGCGTGGTTCGCCAGCAGCTCCCGGAAGAGGGGCCGGGCCCGCCAGAGGCGGGGGGGCAGGCGACGCCGCGGCCCGGGCGCGGGGCCCAGGAAGATGGCCTCCACCAGCCGGCGGGCCCCGGCCAGGCTGGGCCGCAGCGCGCTGAGCAGGAACGAGGGGCGCAGCCGCTCCGGGCCGCCCGGGCGCGCGTAGAGGAAGCGCTTGGTCTCCGTGGAGGCCGGGGCCCGACCCGGGCCTGGCGCGCGGCCGGGGCGCGGCCGGCGCCGGGGCTTCTCCGCGGAGGGCGGCCGCCCGGCCCCCGGCGCGGCGCGGGCCCCGGCGGGCGCGCGCAGCCGGTAGAGCGGCGGCCCGCACAGCTGGAAGGCGCAGCTGGGCGGCACCAGCCGGAAGAGCGCGCAGCGCGCCAGCAGGTGGCCCAGCACCTGGTCGCCCAGGCGGCGCAGCAGCAGCTCCCAGGCGCCGCCGCCGCGCAGCGCCTCGGCCGCCGTGTTGGGCCGGTGGCTGCGCACGCTGGCGCTGAAGGCCAGGCGCGGCCCGCCGCCCGCCCCGCGGGGCAGCGCGAAGCCCGAGGCCAGCACGTTCCGCGCGCCGCGCTCGCACAGCCTCTGCACCACGCGGCCCACCAGCTCCTTCAGGCTCGACTCCTGCGGGCGGAGGGGCTCGTGGGGGGCCGGTCGGGGCCGGGGGGGAGAGGTCGGGGCCGGGAGGGGAGAGGTCGGGGCCGGGAGGGGATGGAGGTCGGGGCCGGGGAGGGAGGTCGTGACCGGGGTGGGGGGAGGTCGTGACCGGTGGGGAGGGGGGTCGGGGCCCGGGAGGGGAGGTCGTGACCGGGGTGGGGGGAGGTCGGGGCCCGGGAGGGGAGGTCGGGGCCGGGGGGGAGAGGTCGGGGCCGGGAGGGGAGAGGTCGGGGCCGGGAGGGGATGGAGGTCAGGGCCGGGGAGGGAGGTCGTGACCGGGGTGGGGGGAGGTCGGGGCCCGGAGGGGGGGAGCGAGGCCCGGGAGGGGAGGTCGGGGCCCGGGGAGGTTGTTTCGGGACACACAGGGTACTGAGCGCGCAGGCTTGGACCCCGCCCCCCGCCCGCCCGGAGCCCCGGGGACGCCCACCTGGCGGAAGGAGGGGTTCGCGGGGGCCGGCTGCGCGTCCCAGGGCACGCACACCAAGCACTGGGCCACCAGTGCGCGGAAGGCCGCGGGGTCCCGGGGCCGCACCAGCCGCCGGCCCTCGGGCCCCAGGCGGCGGGCGAAGGCCGCCAGCGGCAGCACCTCGCGGTACCGGCTGCGCAACAGGGCGCGCACAGCCCTGCACCGAGGCCTGCGCGGCATAGCGGGGACCGACCGGCGCCCGCACGTGCGAGCTCGAACCGCGCGCCGCGCCCACCGCCTCTCCAACGCACGCGCGCCGCGGGAAGAGGCGGGGTCCTCGGAGGAAAAGGCGTGTCCGCGGCGGAAGGGGCGGGCCCTCGGGCTGGGGGCGTGTCCTCGGGACGGGGCGGGGTCCTCGGGGAAAGGCGAGTCTGCGGCAGGGGGCGGGCCCTCGGGCTGGGGGCGTGTCCTCAGGGCGGGGTCCTCGGGGAAAGGCGAGTCTGCGGCTGGGGGCGGGCCCTCGGGCTGGGGGCGTGTCCCTGGGGCGGGCCCTCGGGCTGGGGGCGCGTCCTGGGGACGTCGGCTCGAAGGTGAGGTCCGCGCGGTGTCGGGGAGGAAGGGGCGAGGCGGAGCCCTGGGTCCCCAGCGCCGCTCCCCGGGCCCCGGCCCAGTCCCTCGGGTCTGCACGGGCCGGGCCGGGCCGGGCCTGGGACCCGAGCCCGGGGAGGTGCGGAGCCGGCCAGCCGTAGGCTTCTCTTGGCTGGACCGGGAGGCCGTGCGGAAATCGCTGCTGCCAGTGGCCCTGCTAGTCCGGTGCCCGGGGAGACCAGCCTAGAAAACGGAATTTCCAAGGCCCAGACAGGAGCCCGGGGCTCACGCCTGTCATCCTGGCTACTCAGGAGGCTGAGATCTGAGGATCGCGGTCAAAGCCAGCCCGGGCAGGAGAGACCGTGAGACTCTCATCTCCAATGAACCACCAGAAAACCAGAAGTGGCGCTGTGGCTCAAGTGGCAGAGTGCCAGCCTTGAGTGAAAGAGCCGAGGGACAGCGCCCAGGCCCTGAGTTCAAGACCCATGACTGACAAAAAACAACAATCACAACAACAAAAACAGGATAGAAGAGGGCTGCGGTGCTGGTGGCTCACACCTGTAATCCCAGCTGCTCAGGAAATGGAGAATTAAAGATTGCAATCCAAACCAGGTCCAACAGGAAAGTTTGTGAGACTTGGATCTCAATAACCAGCAAAACACCAAAAGTGGAGCTGTGGCTCAAGCAGTAGAACGCACTGTGTCACGTGGGGACTTACACAGGCCGCAGCACCAAGGCCAACTCTGCCACACGTGCACCACACCCGGTGGGGAAGGAGAGTACAAGTTGGCTCAGGCCTAAGGAGGCAGAATCTCCCTCCAGAATAGACGGATGTCCCCGCATGGACTCCTGGGAACCCCTGTCCCTGGGTCTGTGGAGCCCTTCAGAGAGGGCTGTGAGCAGAGGGACTGCAATCCACACCTTACCAGGCCTGGTCCAAGGGAAAAACCAAGGCAGGCAGGACCTTGGGGGTGGGCCACACCTTAGCAGATGCCCCAGCAAAAAGGCCAAAAGTTCCTTTTCTGAAGGGGACAGAGAAAGGAAACAGAGTGGCTGACAGAGCTCCAGGCATCCCTACAGGAACGAGGTCTGTTCCTGGGCCCTGGGAACCAAGAGGCCCTCTGGGAAGGGTAGCCCTGGTGTCCCGCTTCCTGTCTTCCAGCCTACCAGCCTGCTGGCCAACGCCCCCCCCCCCCATACCTGTTACCTGGCCATGCTTTAGCTGGTGTTCCTGTGGCCCCAACATTGGCACAGTGGTCACAGTGGCCCAGGGAACATAACAAGTGCGTCATTTATACAATTTCATTGCATGGCAATTTCTCAATGTTCTTTTTTCACCTTTGGACAGCGGGAGCACACAAGTAAGGGTGACCACATTAAGTGGTGGTCACCACGTTGTTGGCATCCCAAAGACTGGCAGCTCTCTGAGAGCCCAGGCCACCACAGAGGTGTGAGGTCAGAGGTCACTGGTCCCAGGAGAGGTCACATGGTCCTTTTGCCCCTCTCCTCCTCAGCGGTGCCACCTTCGTTCATGTACACACAGCTCCCACCTCTTATTTGCTTTCCCCCACACTTTAAACCACTCAAGAAAACCAATAAAAAGTACTTAAGGCAAAAAAAAAAAATCCATCCAAATGTGGTTATTTAATCCATATAGCTGGGCAAACAGTTCAGTTCCTGTTTTACATCTTTGGATTTTTGCTCCTTTGAAAGTTATTTGATGAAATTTACCAAAATGCCAAGATAAAATCATCCACCAGGATGTGGAAAGGTTGAGTTTGCTCATGGGATTAAGTGTGTTAATCACCCCCATATGGAAACACAGGGCAGGCCGGGGTGGCTGCAGAGGCCCGCAGACTCCTTTGGGGAAGCTTGCTGTGAGCCCCTGAGGAGAGGCGTCCTCTGCTGACAAAGCAGCGTGAGGCGGTGGGCACCGGCTGTGGCCACGGGAAGCAAGGCAGTTACCACAAGCCACCGCCCTGCGTCCATCTGGGAAGTGTGCTCAGGAGGAAAGGAGTTAACTGGCACTCATGCCAGGCTCTGGTAGCTCACACCCGGAATCCCAGTTACCTAGGCGGTGTCTGCCTCAGGAAGATCACTGGTTCAAGGCCAGCCCAGGATGAGAAAGTTCATGAGATCCCATCTCAACCAATAGCTGGGCACAGTGGCAGGTGTTGCCCGTCAAACCTCCATAAGGGTGTAAACAGGAGGCTTTTGGGCCAGGCTTGCCCAGACAGGAGACTGTATCCTAAAAAGAACTAAAAGCAACAAGTGCTGCAGCTGGGTGCTGGTGACTCACACCTGTAATCCCACTACTCAGGAGGCTTAGATCTGAAGATCACAGTTTGAAGACAGCCTGTGCAGCAAAGTCTCTGGGACTCTTATCTCCAATGAACCACCAAAAAGCTGGATCAAGTGATAGAGCACTAGCCTTAAGCACAAAAGGCTCAGGAACAGTGCCCAGGCCCTGAGTTCAAGTCCTGGGACCAGCACACACACACACAAATGTTGGAAGCTGGATGCCGGTGGCTGACACCTGTAATTCTAGCTACTCTGGAGGCTGAGATCTGAGAATCACAGTTCAAAGCCAGCCAAGGCAGGAAAGGCCATGAGACTCTTATCTCCAATGAACCACCAGAAAACCAGAAGTGGCACTGTGGCTCAAGTGGTAGAGCACTTGCCTTGAGCTGAAGAGCTGAAGGACAGTGCCCAGGCCCAGAGTTCAAGCCCCATGACCAACCAAAAAAAAAAAAAACTGTTGGGAGACATCAGCTAGCAAGTGCAAGCCCTGAATTCAATTTGGATGTCCTCATCCCTCTTTGGGGAGCATGCCTTCATCAGGCTCTCCTGTGTACCCCCGTTTCCAGTCTCTTGGAAGACCCTCGAAAGCATATAGAAAACATTACATCCTGCTTAATCGACCCAGCCCACAGCCCTCCGCTGCCCAAGAAGGAAATCCATCCTTTTCCACCTGCCTTCCAAACCTCACAGCTTGGTATGGCTTGTCAGAACAGGATTCTGGAAGCAGTTCTGATCCAGAGCCACTTGGACACTAAATCTTCTCTGGAAGAAATTGCTGACATTTTGGGTCTCAGGACTCATACAAATTTAGTTTAACAAAATCAAAGAACTCCTAACACACAAGGAAAAACTATCAGGAATGGATGTACAAAGAAAGAGCCAGCACCACCCAAACCACAGCCTAAGCTGCAGCTACGGAGATTTCCACAATACTGTACACACGTTTACAGTACAAAAGGAGGCTAAATGTAACAAAACAGCCAGATATCAGAATAGACCAGGGAGATTTAGACAGCAGATAAAACTTCTAGAAATATAAAATACATCTAAGACAAGTGCTTGTAGTTCACATCTATTATAGCTTCTCAGGAGGCTGAGATCTGAGGATTAGGGTTCAAAGCCAGCCCAGACAGAAAGTCCATGATCCTTATCTCCAATGAATGAAAGAAAAAGCCGGAGTGGAGTTGGCTCAAGTGGTAGAGAGCTAGCTTTGAGCAAAAGCTTAGGAGACAGCACCTAGGCCGAGTTCAAGCCCCAGGACCAGCAAAAATAAAAATAAAAAAGAACTAAGTCAAATGAACAGAAAAAGAAATGTGAATATACAATTAGATAAAATTGGCTTAAAAGAAAATTAGAAATAGGAAAAGCAATCTGTTTAAAGACTTTAGGGGAAGAGAAAGTGAGCTCATGAGGCCAGCCTTGAGCAAAAAATACTGAGCAACAGATGAAGTCCTGAATTCAAGAAATTAGGTCAAGCTCAGTGCCTCACACCTATAATCCTAGTTACTCAGGAGATGAGATATGAGGATCATAGTTCAAAGCTAGTCCAGGCAAAAATAGTCTGTGAGACTCTTATCTCTAACCAGCAAAAAAATGCTGGAATGGAAGGGTGGCTCAAGTGGTAGAACACCAGCCTTAAGCTAAATGAGAGTTCAGGTCCTCCCGTCCCCCAAAAAGGAAATTATAGAATTCTGCTGGGTGCAAGTGGCCCCTGGGTACCCAGGAGACAGGCATAGGAAGGATAAAAACGTTTGAGGCTAGCCCAAGAAAAACGGTAGCCAGATACCACCCCAATACATAGCCAGGTATGGTGGTTCACGTCTGTGATCCCAGCCACCCAGGAGGCACGGGCAGAAGGATCAAGATCCAAGGCTGAAATTCAAGACCCTATCAGAAAAAGTAAAGTAACAAGGACTGAGGTATCAGCTCAAGTAGCATAGTTTCTGCCTGGCCCCAGTTCAAAACTGCAGTAGCACCACAAGAAGAAATACAGAAAAATGTGAGTAGAGCAGAGTTTGGGAAGGAGCGGATGGAAGACATGAAGAAAGGCACTGCTCAGGAAAATGGCTACAGGTTTTCCACTGTTGAGAGGACACTGGAAACACAAAAGCACAGTGAAGAAAAAGAGCCACACAATGACAAATCCACTCAGGCAGGGAGGAGAGACAGGACGCCAGCCAAGAAAGACAGCTGGAGCTGGCTCAGCCACAGGACCTGACACAGCGTGACATTTTGGTGGCTGGACACCTGTGGTAGTGTCCACGAGGCTGACTCACACAGCTCCAGCTGTGTGGATGGTCAGCTTCGTACAAGGGCAAGCGAGCCTGAGAAACTTTAGTTCTGTGAGAGTCCATGGCTGCCTTCCCGGCTGTTGTGCAGTCAGACAGTGATTTTGACTGGGCTGGAATAGATAGCCCTGCTCCGTGGCTCTGGGCAGATGCAGCCTCCTGTCCTTCAGCCTGTCCACAGCAGCTCTGCAACTTTTACACATCCAAGTCCTACCTCAGTTCATCTCTGAGGATGTGACTAACAGAAAGTGTGGGATGGCACACGCTCAACTTGCTGGCTTTTAAACAGCCGAGACCTGAGACTGGAGAACATTCCTGACTCGAAGGCTGCCAGAGGCCAAGTCTGCTCCTTTCCATGCATACGTAAATCCATCTTACATGTTCACTTCTGGGAAAAGTGAAACTTAATATCTGAGAGACTTAGTCCAGGTCAAGAAAAAAACGTCACAGCCAGAGAAATTTATTTTAAAATACAAACATACATTAATTAAGCTGAAAACAATCAAATTTTAAACAGGAGGGAAAGAGCCAGTTGATCCCAGAGTTCATATGGAATGAATTTCCATATGCATTTGAATCACATAAGGAGCACTTAAAAAAACAACTTGAAATGGAAACCCACCATCTCCCACTTGGCAGAGGAGGGCACCGTGGAGGCCCGCCCACGCCGGACGCATCCTGTTCATGTGTGTGCTCCAGGACAGGGGAGCACGGGGGAAGCTGAGGGATTTGGCAACGTGAAGATGTGGTGTCTGGGAACTCCCCAAGCCTCCGGAGGCCCGTCCACTGCTGACCAGGAAGCCCAAGCCAGGGCCTTCAGTCTGCATGAGATTTCCGCTTGGGCCGTTCCTCGTACGACTCCCCAAACTCATTCACTCTGCTCTTATCCACAGGATAAAGCCTGCAATGACATGGTAATCGCTAGCACTCTCCAGCATGCACCAAAGGGGCTGGGCCAGCAGAGTGCTTCTCGGCTATCTTGCCACTGTGCTGGCCTGCTGCCCTGTGCTAGTTCACGGTGGTCTCAAGGGTTGGGTATGGACAGCATCCCCAGAACAGGGCCCAGCTCCATTATGCAGACGTAAACGTCCCAACAACACCCTCCGTCCTGTCTAGCTCCCTGCCCTCTGCAAGCGCTTGCTTGGCCAGTGCTTAGTCCTGAGATCCCAGGGTTTCACCAACATCCCCTTATTTACAGGACACTGAGGGCAGGCTGGGCCGGGGATACAGTGCCTGCTGCCCAAAAGCTCCAGGCTAGAGCCCCACAGACAGCTGCAACAATAACACACTGGGTCCCAGATGGTCAGTTTGTGGGACTGGAGGTGGACACACAGGGCCTTGAGGAGAAAGAAGAAGGTGGGCTGTGCGGGGAACACCACAAACAGCCCTGTGCCAGGCCCATCAGTGGAAGAGTTTGCCACCAACTCCTTTCCACATTTCCACAGCCGGGAACTGACTGCAGACCTGAGCCTCAGTAAGCCACAAGAATCCTGTGTGGCACTGGGCACCCCACCAGACAGACCACGCAAAGATGGAAACGTCCCCACCAGACAGGCCACGCAAAGATGGAAACGTCTCCTCCAAACAGGCCACACAAAGATGGAAACATCCCCACCACCAGACAGGCCACGTGAAGATGGAAACGTCTTCACCAGACAGGCCATGCAGATGGAAACCCCACCAGACAGGCCGCGCAGATGGAAACGTCCCCACCAGACAGGCCACGCAAAGATGGAAACATCTCTACCATCAGACAGGCCACAAGAAGATGGAACCATCTCCACCAGACAGGCCACGCAGATGGAAACCGCACCAGACAGGCCACGCAAAGACAGAAACATTTCCTCCAGACAGGCAATGCAAACATGGAAATGTCTCCTCCCACCAGACAGGCAACGCAAAGATAGAAAAGTCTCCTCCCTCCAGACGAGCCACACAGATGGAAACCCCTCCAGACAGGCCACGCAAAGATGGAAACATCTTGCCGGGTGCCGGTTGCTCACGCCTGTAATCCTAGCTACTCAGGAGGCTGAGATCTGAGGATCGCAGTTCAAAGCCAGCCCGGGCAGGAGAGACCATGAGACTCCTACCTCCAATAAACCACTAGAAAACCGGAAGTGGCGCTGTGGCTCAAGTGGTAGAGCGCTCGCCTTGAGCTGAAGAGCTGAGGGACAGCGCCCAGGCCCAGAGTTCAAGCCCCACAACCGCCAAAAAAAAAAAAAAAAAGATGGAAACATCTCCACCATCAGACAGGCCACAAGAAGATGGAACCATCTCCACCAGACAGGCCACGCAGATGGAAACATCTCCACCAGACAGGCCACGCAAAGATGGAAACATCCCACCAGACATGTCACTCACAGTAGATCCCAGCCTCAAGACTACATGCAGGATGGCCATGCGCTGGGGAGGAGCCAGGAGGCACTGCTGCCAGTGGGTGCTGGCTAACCCGGTGTGGCAGGAGGAAGAGCTCAAAGAGGACTCAGAAGCTGGGCCAGCAGGAGCAGCTCGAGTCCTTCTGTGCTCCATGTGCTTGGGGTTGGGCCAAGACTCCTGTCCTATCAAACTCAGACCCCTGCCTGGGCCTGCAGGACCACTCACCACCGCTGATACAGGTAGACCAAAAACACCACGTCATCCCTGAAGCAGGCCAGCCGGTGCGACGTGGGCATGGTGATGATGAAGGCAAAGACATCGTCGATGAAGGTGTTGAAAGCCTGCAAAGCCAGCGGGAAGGGCAGACAACGCCGTCTGAACCCCAGTGCTTTGTGGAGGGAGGAAGGGCATCCCAGTGCTTGTGGTAGGAGGAAGGGCAGACAACGCCGTCTGAACCCCAGTGCTTTGTGGTGGGAGGAAGGGCAGGCGATGCTATCTGAACCCCAGTGCTTTGTGGAGGAAGGGCATCCCAGTGCTTGTGGTAGGAGGAAGGGCAGATAACGCCGTCTGAACCCCAGTGCTTGTGGTAGGAGGAAGGGCAGACAACGCCGTCTGAACCCCAGTGCTTTGTGGTAGGAGGAAGGGCAGGCGGTGCCATCTGAACCCCACTGCCTATGAACCTGAGTCGGTATGTGGCTTCACAGAAGATACAAGACTGGGAGGCAGCCAGTGGAGCAAAGCCTCAGGCCGAAGCCTTGTGTATCCCACGAGACCCGCCCTTTGCCAGGGAGCTCAGGGCACAGGGAGCAGGAGCAGAGCAGAGCAGAGCCGCGGCCCGGCCTGGCCCTCGCCCGCACAGCTGGCGGGGAGGCAGTGCTTCCATGCACCCATGGCTCTTTGTCAACAAAAAGAAAGGGTCGGCCAGCACGAGGCTCTGGCCAGGCTCTCTGCCACCCGCAGCGGGAGGTGCACTTACCTTGTAGGTGAAGGCCTTCCAGGGCAGGTGAGCCACCGACTTCATCTGAGACAAGGAGAGGGGACAGGTGAGCCGGGCCAGCATGGACAGCAGGCCCCGCCAAGGTGAGCTGCGCGACCTACCTTGTAGTTGACAAAGAGCTGGGGCAGCATGAAGAGGAAGCCAAACGCATAGACACCTGCAGGGAGACGCACCACCATGGAGACAATCCACCACGAGCCCCGCCCACCCCGCGTGCTGCCAGGAACACACACCTGACTTCTAGGCCCGCCAGCAGGCCTGTTCCAGGCTGTCCTGGCTCCAGCGGCCCGCGCCTGCTGTTAGCCTTTGCCCGTACTCAGTGCTGGGAAACACCGGAGGCCTCCGGGGAGCACACAGAGGGCAAGTCTGAGACTTACATCCCAGGGCACAACGGTTTGCAGCCAGACCTCATCTCTCATGGGCCACAGAACAACGCCCTGACTGGGACAGGGAGGGGAGGGAGGTGTGCATCACACCCAAGGCAGGCTCTGCCTCTCAGATACCCAGACACAGGACACACTCCATCCAGAGGCAGCGTGGGCTCCCTGGACTGCCACACAGGGTGGCTAGCTCCACCCACAGCCTGGAGTTCTGGGCTGTTCTGAGTAATCAAAGTTTAAAGAATCGCCTGCCTTTAGGGAGAGAAACAGAATAGCTGCTTGAACGGTAAAGGCTGGGGACGCATCTTGCTCAATTCAACTCAGGTGCTGGGTGCTGGTCACACTGGGCTCCAGGAGCAGGAAAGGGGGCCTCGGCCACAAGTACTAATCCCCACGCAGACTCACCATTTACAAAGCTGTTGATAAGCCACGAGTACCAGCTGAAAGAGAGGAGTTGTGGGTTCAGAAAGTCCCCGTGTCCCCCCCACTGCCCTCCACACGGCCCCCGTGTCCACACCCCACCGCATCCTCCACACGGCCCCCCGTGACCAAACCACACCACGCTCTCCACACGGCCCCCGTGTCCACACCCCACCGCATCCTCCACACGGTCCCCCGTGTCCACACCACACCACGCTCTCCACACGGCCCCCGTGTCCACACCCCACCGCATCCTCCACAAACGGCCCCCCGTGACCAAACCACACCACGCTCTCCACACGGCCCCCGTGTCCACACCCCACCGCATCCTCCACACGGCCCCCCGTGTCCACACCACACCACGCTCTCCACACGGCCCCCGTGTCCACACCACACCGCATCCTCCACACGGCCCCCGTGTCCACACCACACCACACCTCCACACGGCCCCCGTGTCCACACCACACCGCATCCTCCACACGGCCCCCGTGTCCACACCACACCGCATCCTCCACACGGCCCCCGTGTCCACACCACACCTCCACACGGCCCCCGTGTCCACACCACACCTCATCCTCCACACGGCCCCCGTGTCCACACCACACCTCCACACGGCCCCCGTGACCAAACCACACCACACCTCCACACGGCCCCCGTGTCCACACCACACCGCATCCTCCACACGGCCCCCGTGTCCACACCACACCGCATCCTCCACATGGCCCCCCGTGACCAAACCACACCACACTGTCCACACAGCCCATGTCCACACCACACTGTCCACACAGCCCCCGTGTCCACACCACACTCTCCACACAGCCCCCGTGTCCACACCACACTCTCCACACGCCCCCATGTCCACACCACTCTCCACACAGCCCACGTGTCCACACCACACTGTCCACACAGCCCCCATGTCCACACCACACTCTCCACACAGCCCCCGTGTCCACACCACACTCTCCACACAGCCCCCGTGTCCACACCACACTCTTCACACGCCCCCATGTCCACACCACTCTCCACACAGCCCCCGTGTCCACACCACACTGTCCACACAGCCCCCATGTCCACACCACACTCTCCACACAGCCCGTGTCCACACTACACTCTCCACACAGCCCCCATGTCCACACCACACTCTCCACACAGCCCGTGTCCACACCACACTCTCCACACAGCCCCCGTGTCCACACCACACTCTCCACACGCCCCCATGTCCACACCACTCTCCACACAGCCCCCGTGTCCACACCACTCTCCACACAGCCCCCGTGTCCACACCACGCTCTCCACACAGCCCCCATGTCCACACCACACTCTCCACACAGCCCGTGTCCACACCACACTCTCCACACAGCCCCCATGTCCACACCACTCTCCACACAGCCCACGTGTCCACACCACACTCTCCACACAGCCCCCATGTCCACACCACACTCTCCACACAGCCCCCATGTCCACACCACACTGTCCACACAGCCCGTGTCCACACCACACTCTCCACACAGCCCGTGTCCACACCACACTCTCCACACAGCCCGTGTCCACACCACACTCTCCACACAGCCCCCATGTCCACACCACACTCTCCACACAGCCCCCATGTCCACACCACACTCTCCACACAGCCCGTGTCCACACCACACTCTCCACACAGCCCCCATGTCCACACCACACTGTCCACACAGCCCGTGTCCACACCACACTGTCCACACGCCCCCATGTCCACACCACACTCTCCACACAGCCCCCATGTCCACACCACACTCTCCACACAGCCCGTGTCCACACCACACTCTCCACACGGCCCCCGTGTCCACACTACACTCTCCACACGGCCCCCGTGTCCACACCACACTCTCCACACAGCCCCCGTGTCCACACCACACTCTCCACACAGCCCACGTGTCCACACCACACTGTCCACACAGCCTGTGTCCACACCACACTGTCCACACAGCCCCCATGTCCACACCACACTATCTACACGGCCCCCATGTCCACACCACACTCTCCACACAGCCCCCGTGTCCACACCACACTCTCCACACAGCCCACGTGTCCACACCACACTGTCCACACGGCCCCCGTGTCCACACCACACTCTCCACACAGCCCCCGTGTCCACACCACACTCTCCACACGGCCCCATGTCCACACCACACTCTCCACACAGCCCGTGTCCACACCACACTGTCCACACAGCCCGTGTCCACACCACACTCTCCACACAGCCCCCGTGTCCACACCACACTCTCCACACAGCCCGTGTCCACACCACACTCTCCACACAGCCCCCATGTCCACACCACACTCTCCACACAGCCCGTGTCCACACCACACTGTCCACACAGCCCCCGTGTCCACACCACACTGTCCACACAGCCCGTGTCCACACCACACTCTCCACACAGCCCGTGTCCACACCACACTCTCCACACAGCCCGTGTCCACACCACACTCTCCACACAGCCCGTGTCCACACCACTCTCCACACAGCCCATGTCCACACCACACTGTCCACACAGCCCATGTCCACACCACACTGTCCACACAGCCCCCATGTCCACACCACACTCTCCACACAGCCCCCATGTCCACACCACACTGTCCACACAGCCCGTGTCCACACCACACTCTCCACACAGCCCCCGTGTCCACACCACACTGTCCACACAGCCCGTGTCCACACCACACTCTCCACACGGCCCCCATGTCCACACCACACTCTCCACACGGCCCCCATGACCACACCACACTCTCCACACAGCCCCCATGTCCACACCACACTCTCCACACAGCCCGTGTCCACACCACACTCTCCACACAGCCCCCATGTCCACACCACACTCTCCACACAGCCCGTGTCCACACCACACTGTCCACACAGCCCCCATGTCCACACCACACTCTCCACACAGCCCCCATGTCCACACCACACTCTCCACACAGCCCATGTCCACACCACACTCTCCACACAGCCCATGTCCACACCACACTCTCCACACAGCCCGTGTCCACACCACACTCTCCACACAGCCCGTGTCCACACCACACTCTCCACACAGCCCGTGTCCACACCACACTCTCCACACAGCCCCCATGTCCACACCACACTGTCCACACAGCCCGTGTTCACACCACACTCTCCACACAGCCCCCGTGTCCACACCACACTGTCCACACAGCCCGTGTCCACACCACACTCTCCACACGGCCCCCATGTCCACACCACACTCTCCACACAGCCCCCATGTCCACACCACACTCTCCACACAGCCCCCATGTCCACACCACACTCTCCACACAGCCCCCATGTCCACACCACACTCTCCACACAGCCCCCATGTCCACACCACACTCTCCACACAGCCCGTGTCCACACCACACTCTCCACACAGCCCCCGTGTCCACACCACACTGTCCACACAGCCCGTGTCCACACCACACTCTCCACACGGCCCCCATGTCCACACCACACTCTCCACACAGCCCCCATGTCCACACCACACTCTCCACACAGCCCCCATGTCCACACCACACTCTCCACACAGCCCGTGTCCACACCACACTCTCCACACAGCCCCCATGTCCACACCACACTCTCCACACAGCCCCCATGTCCACACCACACTCTCCACACAGCCCCCATGTCCACACCACACTCTCCACACAGCCCCCATGTCCACACCACACTCTCCACACAGCCCCCATGTCCACACCACACTCTCCACACGGCCCCCATGTCCACACCACACTCTCCACACAGCCCGTGTCCACACCACACTCTCCACACGGCCCCCATGTCCACACCACACTGTCCACACGGCCCCCATGACCACACCACTAAATGTTTTGACCGAAGATAAACAAATGTTTCATTGAAACAAAAGAAAAGCAGGTCCCTCTCACAGCCCTCAGCCTTGCAGGGCAGCTGGGCGTGACGAGAGGCCCTGTGTCCACCAGTGTGGGGGGGGTAGCACAGAGCTCGGTGGACACAGGCCACGTCCCCCCCCCCCCCGGCTCCTTTCCAGGGCCTTGCCAGACCACACACAATTTGCACGCAAAGCTGCTCAGGATGGAAACACAGGACACTGCACGGAAAGATGCCTACACGTAGCTCTTGATGCTGTGTCTCCACATGGCAGGGCCACAGCCGCCCCTCCTGACCTCTGGCCAGCGCCACAGCTGCCCACTGCCTCTCCTCGGTCCTTCTGCCTGCTCATGTGTGGCCGAAGGCATGAGCAAAGCAGACGCGTTCTCTACCAGCCTTTTCTTTCTCGAGCGCTGTCCCACCTGCACACCTGACCCGGTGGAGGTAGGAAGGCCCGCACCATCAGACCAGAAGGTGCGCCGGGGTGGTGCATGGGGACAAAAGCCACGGGACACTGGGTGAGAGACCCCAGCCCCACGAACCGGGGGATGCCTTCATTTCCCCAACTGCTCCTCACGGCACTGGGATGCACAACCCAGAGGACAGCCAAGCCAGCACCGACCGGCTCCACAGCATGGTGGCGGAGTCTGGAGTCCCTGGCAGCTGAGGAACACAACGGCTGCATCACCCACCTCTTATACTTGATATTCAGCAGCGAGTAGATGGCGCCCCCGATACAGAGCGGGTAGAGGAGGTAAGACAAGTACTTCATGGCCTGGGGGGAGGACAGACATCATTTCCAGTTAGGCACATCAAGCGCTGCACCGTAACAAACATACATCAGGAGCCATGAGCAACAATGGAATCAAGCAGAGACACGGGACACTTGCAGCGTCTAGGGCAGTGAGTGACACAGCTGTGCGCCGTGACAATGGCGACCTCACGTCATGGTGTGCTTGCTGGCACTCGGAGCAAACTGGCATGCAACTGCAGGAATTGGGTGACCCTAACACAGGGAGCCCACCTCATCAAAGACATCAGGACCGGGCGGGGGGGGGGGGGGGGGGGGAATCAGCAGGAGCGGGGGACATCTGAGGAAGTCTAAGGACCAGGGTGAAAGCCTCAGGGCCCTGCGTTTGTGTGACCTGAGATCCATTATAATGTCAATGGAATTCAAGTACAAAGGATGGGCATCAAACCTAAAACCCAAGTCCAGCCCTGTGGAGATGGCCTGTCAGACCTGACTATCCAGCCCTCGCCAGAGGCGGTGCTGGCAGGGAGCCACATGCACCAAGCTGCTGCGGGAGCAGCCGGGCAGGGCGGGGACCCTGGGGTCTGTGCTCAGCCCCAGGAACCCGCCTTCCCAGGGGATGAACCACGAGTCTCCAGCACACATGACCCCACAGCTCACCTGGGTGTCATACTCCTCCGTCTTCCTCTCACACTCGCTGTAGGTGCCAAACTGTTGTGAGATCACAGGCAATGTCAGTGGGCTCGGCAGGGTCTCAGCACAGGGACTGGCGGTGGAGGTGCAGTATCCACACACCACCGGTGTCCCACTGAGTCCCACCAGGCCTGGACCACAGGGTGATGCTCCCCACCACCACCTCGGAGGCCTCAACCTCACAGCGCCCAGGCTTGCGCCAGGAGGAGACACCCGCCCGAGCCTCTGGCTCCCACACCACTGCTCTACCCTAAGTGGAAAAACCAAGGCAGCCGCACCATGAGCCTGAAGAGGACCCACAGCCCCCAAAGGCCAGCTCAATCCAGGTCCATTCCCTAGCAAACATGGGCTGCACTTCAGCCCCATCCCCACCCCAGATGACTTCCTGGGTCTCTCATCCATGTTAAACTTCCTTCCCCAAGGTTGCTTGGGCCTGGAGGCCCAGCTCTCTGTTTCTAAGGAAATCAGCATTTGTCTCCTGACTGAAGAAAACTCAACCCATCACAAAGCCAGTGTGAGCCTCACAGGACTGGATGACAGCCACCTGCATTTGGAAGGTTTGATGCTCGCGGGCACAGCTAAAAAAGACAGGCTGGCTGGGCACAGTGGCTCCTGCCTATGACCCTAGTTACTTAGAAGGCTGAGATCTGAGGATCTCAGTTTGAAGCCACCCTAGGCAGGAAAGTCCATATTCTTTTTTGTCGGCCATGGGGCTTTAACTCTGGGCCTGGGCACTGTCCCTTAGTTCTTCAGCTCAAAGCCAACACTCTACCACATGAACCACAGTGCCACTTCCGGCCTTTTCTGTTTATGTGGTGCTGAGGGATCGAACCTAGGACCTCATACACGGGAAGCAAGCACTCTGCCACTGAGCCACCTGTACAGCATCTCCTTAAGGTTCTTATCACCAATTAACCACCAAAGCCTTGAGCAAAAAAGCTCAAGGACAGCACACAAGGCCTGAGTTCAAGTGCTCCCCCCACCCCAAAAAAAAGAGGCAGCCTGGTAAGGATGAGCAGATTGGAATGAACAGATGTGGGGAGGGAGAGCGGAGGGGCAGCGGTCTGGCAGGGGTGGAGGGGGTGTGGAGGGAGAGTGGATGGGCAGCGATCTGGCAGGGGTGTGGAGGGAGAGCGGATGGGCAGAGGTCTGGCAGGGGTGTGGAGGGAGAGCGGATGGGCAGCGGTCTGGCAGGGGTGTGGAGGGAGAGTGGAGGAGCAGCGATCTGGCAGGAGTGTGAAGGGAGAGCGGAGGGGCAGCGGTCTGGCAGGGGTGGGGAGGGAGAGCGGATGGGCAGTGGTCTGGCAGAAGTGTGGAGGGAGAGTGGATGGGCAGCGGTCTGGCAGGAGTGTGAAGGGAGAGCGGAGGGGCAGCAGTCTGGCAGGGGTGGGGAAGGAGAGTGGATGGGCAGCGGTCTGGCAGGGGTGGGGAAAGAGAGTGGATGGGCAGCGGTCTGGCAGGGGTGGGGAAGGAGAGTGGATGGGCAGCGGTCTGGCAGGGGTGGGGAAGGAGAGTGGATGGGCAGCGGTCTGGCAGGGGTGTGGAGGGAGAGCGGATGGGCAGCGGTCTGGCAGGGGTAGGGAAAGAGAGCGGAGGGGCAGAGGTCTGGCAGGGGTGTGGAGGGAGAGTGGAGGGGCAGCGGTCTGGCAGGGGTGTGGAGGGAGAGCGGATGGGCAGTGGTCTGGCAGAAGTGTGGAGGGAGAGTGGAGGAGCAGCGATCTGGCAGGAGTGTGAAGGGAGAGCGGAGGGGCAGCGGTCTGGCAGGGGTGTGGAGGGAGAGCGGATGGGCAGCAGTCTGGCAGGGGTGTGGAGGGAGAGCGGATGGGCAGCGGTCTGGCAGGGGTGTGGAGGGAGAGCGGAGGGGCAGAGGTCTGGCAGGGGTGTGGAGGGAGAGCGGAGGGGCAGAGGTCTGGCAGGGGTGTGGAGGGAGAGCGGAGGGGCAGAGGTCTGGCAGGGGTGTGGAGGGAGAGCGGAGGGGCAGCGGTCTGGCAGGGGTGTGGAGGGAGAGCGGAGGGGCAGCGGGCTGGCAGGGGTGTGGAGGGAGAGCGGAGGGGCAGCGATCTGGCAGGGGTGTGGAGGGAGAGCGGATGGGCAGTGGTCTGGCAGGGGTGTGGAGGGAGAGTGGAGGAGCAGCAATCTGGCAGGGGTGGGGAGGGGGTGTGGAGGGAGAGCGGAGGGGCAGCGGGCTGGCAGGGGTGTGGAGGGAGAGTGGATGGGCAGCGGTCTGGCAGGGGTGTAGAGGGAGAGTGGAGGGGCAGCGGGCTGGCAGGGGTGTGGAGGGAGAGCGGAGGGGCAGCGGGCTGGCAGGGGTGTGGAGGGAGAGAGGAGGGGCAGCGATCTGGCAGGGGTGTGGAGGGAGAGTGGATGGGCAGCGGTCTGGCAGGGGTGGGGAGAGCAGAGTGCGTGGGTCTGGCAGGGGAGGCTGCTCACCACAGATCTTACCTGGAACCGTGGCCTCAGGCCCCTCCAGGTCACCGTCATCTTGAGAGCCTTCTTCACTTTCCAGAGCTGAGGGAACAAGGAAGCGCCCACACTGAGGCTGCAGCACAGGGAGCACATGCTGCCCAGGCCCGCGGCCACCGGCCGGCTCGCGGCCACCGGCCCACCCCGCCTCAGCCATGCAGCCCGTGCGGGCGCGGCCACTACTTCTGTGACTTCTGTGCCCCGTGACTGTTGGCAGAACCTAGGAAGCCCTCCAGAAGCCCGGCCCTGGACCCTCCACATTCTCTCCTACAGCTCGTTGGGTCAGGCCTAGCGCTGCGGAATGAGTTCCCCGACCACTGTGAGCTAAGGTCACCGACCCCCACACCTCGGCAGGCACCGGCAGCCACATGCGCTAGGGCCTGCTGTGGGTCTCACCAGAACCAAGGTGGACAGGACTCTAAGGAGGCTCTCTGGGCCTGCCCCAGCCCAGTGCCCCCTTCCAGGCTTGGCCAAGTGACTTTAGCCACTCCTACATGGTCAGCCTGCCTCGAATCTCAGCCCAAACGCAAGATCCTCACGGCCACACGGCTGTCACAAAGCACCAGCATGGGCTCTGCGGGAGGACGTGGGCTCGGCCAGTGGGCCACGCACGGACATCGCTCACGGCTCTGCCACAGGAGCACGTTCACACGCTTCCCTGCCCCCCACACCCATGAGTGCACACACACACACTCCTCAGAGGGCCTCAGGGCTCTGCCACAGGAGCACGTTCACACGCTTCCCTGCCTCACACCCGTGTGCGCACACACACACACACACACACACTCCTCCAAGGGCCTCAGGGCTCTGCCACAGGAGCACGTTCACACGCTTCCCTGTCTCCCACACCTGTGAGTGTGCACACACACACACACACACACACTCCTCAGAGGACCTCAGGGCTCTGCCACAGGAGCACGTTCACACGCTTCCCTGTCTCCCACACCTGTGAGTGTGCACACACACACACACACACACACTCCTCAGAGGACCTCAGGGCTCTGCCACAGGAGCACGTTCACACGCTTCCCTGCCTCACACCCGTGTGCGCACACACACACACACACACACACTCCTCCAAGGGCCTCAGGGCTCTGCCACAGGAGCACGTTCACACGCTTCCCTGTCTCCCACACCTGTGAGTGTGCACACACACACACACACACACACTCCTCAGAGGACCTCAGGGCTCTGCCACAGGAGCACGTTCACACGCTTCCCTGTCTCCCACACCTGTGAGTGTGCACACACACACACACACACACACTCCTCAGAGGACCTCAGGGCTCTGCCACAGGAGCACGTTCACACGCTTCCCTGTCTCCCACACCTGTGAGTGTGCACACACACTCCTCCGAGGGCCTCAGGGCTCTGCCACAGGAGCACGTTCACACGCTTCCCTGCCTCACACCCGTGTGTGTGCACACACACACACACACACACACACTCCTCCGAGGGCCTCAGGGCTCTTGCCACAGGAGCACGTTCACACGCTTCCCTGCCTCACACCTGTGTGCGCACACACACACACTCCTCCGAGGGCCTCAGGGCTCTGCCACAGGAGCACGTTCACACGCTTCCCTGCCCCCCACACCTGAGTGTGCGCACATGCCTCCGAGGGCCTCAGGGCTCTGCCACAGGAGCACGTTCACACGCTTCCCTATCTCCCACACCATGAGTGCACACGCGCACACACACACACACACACACGCCTCAGAGGGCCTCAGGGCTCTGCCACAGGAGCACGTTCACACGCTTCCCTGCCCCCCACACCTGAGTGTGCACACACACACACACACTCCTCCGAGGGCCTCAGGGCTCTGCCACAGGAGCACGTTCACACGCTTCCCTGCCCCCCACACCTGAGTGTGCGCACGCCTCAGAGGGCCTTGCAGCGGCCAGCACGGCGTCTGTGGCCCTCGCTGTACCGTCCACCCAGACCTGGTGTGGTGCCCCGACTCACCTCGATGGCAGCACCCACGCCTGCAGGAACCAGCACCAGCAGGCTGGTCTGCTCATCCAGCAGGAACAGGAAGATGACCACGGTGCTGAAACAGCGCCAGAGTACTGGGGGCAAGGTGGCACGGTGAGAGCGAGGACATGACCCAGGCCCGCCTCCACCCTCGGAGCACACGGAGCTCAACCCCCCTCACAACCTCCCGTCTGAAGGAGGGGGCTGGGACAGCGCTCACTGGTACGTGCTGGCAGGGCGAGGCCTGAGTTCGATCCCAGTACCACGGGAATCAATCGTGGGCAATTGCGCAGCTCTAGAAAGCTCTTTGAAGGCCAGAGAGCTGAAGAGCTGGCAGAGCGGCAGCCAAACAGCGTGTCTCGATGAAGCGACAGACCCACGAGCAAGCCAGGGTGCTGTGTGGCATTCCTCTCATCAGGACTGGTGGCCAGGACCCCATACCCACTTTCTTGCCTCCTCTACACCTCATGTGTTACACTGTTCTGTGATAAAGGTCCCCGACTTCTGTAAAGCTGCAGTTTTTCCTTCTCAAGATGTACACCGAAAAGCATCCCAGTTTGTCCTGCTTTCTGTGTGCAACTGGTGATCCCGAGGACAGCAGATGCCTGTTCAGTGAGTGTCCTCCCACAGTGCCAGCAGGAGGCCCTCTCCTCTCCCGGGAGCTACCCAGGTTTGTCTTTATGGGGGAGGAAGATCTATCTTCAACCAGGGCACTGGCAGCTTGCGCCTGTAATCCTACCGATGCAGGAGACTGAGGTCTGAGGATCGCAGTTCAAAGCCAGCCTGGAAAGGCCACGAGACTCATCTCCAATGAACCACCAGAAAACTGGAAGTGGAGTTGTGACTCACAGTGGTAGAGTACTAGCCTTGAGCAAGAGATCAGGGAAAGTGCCCAGGCCCCGAGTCCAAGCCCCAAGACTGACGGTAAAACAAAAAGCTATCTTCCGTTTGAATCTGACCCTGGAGGCCGATGCCAAGTCCTCACAGACAGGAGAAGGAGCGTGCTCACACAGTGCCTCACCAGCCCCACAACTCATGCTCAGACCATGCTGGGTTTGCTACCGCGAAAACAGCCCTTTCTTCTGGCGACTGCCTCTAAGCCAGTATTCAGAGCCTGGAACCTTCCAGGCTGCAGCCCGCATCACTTTGGGAGGCAGGGGTGGAGAGGGGTTGTGGGGCATCTGACTCTATCCACACTCTACATCAACTGGGTCTTTGCCAGATCCTGGTGTGAGCTCACACTCCACACACACACACACACACACACACACACACACACACACACACACACACACACACACGCACGTGTGCTGAAAGGCCTGTGTCCCCCACGCCCTACCCCACCCTCGAGCCTCAGTGGCTCTCAGGCTCCAAAGAAGCACTCGTGAGTGCTCAGGCCCGGGGCTGGACCTGCAGGCCTCACCGACGCCCTCAGGACTAAGGTGGGTGAAGACTCCTGGGCCCTACCTGCTTTGGTAGACATGCCAATCATGCTCTTCTTTTTCTTCCAGAAACTGATGTCATTTTTAAATGCCAAGAAGTCGAAAAGAAGCTGCAAAGGACAGACAGGACAGCGGTCTGCGCTACAGCCGCTCTTACCACCCGCACCTGCCTGGCAGGCTGCCACGGAGAGGGGCTACATGCTGGGTGACCCACTCCTGTGCCGTGCGCCTGGCCCTCAGACCCAAATCCCAGGGAACATGCATGGCTGCCATTAATACAAGCACAAGGCCCTGCTGCACACCATGCAAACACCCCATGGCTCATCCATTGACACTGGCTTCCCAACCTGGTTGAGGGAAATTCTGGCACAACGGGTACCCGGACGTCCCACCCCACCCCAGCGGCTCCATCCTCCACACTGGGATGGCTTCCCAGGGCTCTGGGCTCTGTGCAAGATGCATGCTACATGCTGAAATGCCTTCTCAAGCTGAACATCATCATAGCAGCCCCGAATAGCAGAATGACTATTCTGCAAAGTTAAACTCAGTGGTGCGGACACTGTCAAAAGTACTGCAGAGCCTCCTGAAAACGGCCCCAAAGCAGTGACCCCAGTCAGGGATGGTGGTCCCGGGGTGTGGGCTCACGTGGGGCCGGCAGGGAGCCTCCCCAGCCTGTGGCTAGTCCTCGCGAGAACTCACATGAAACGCTGCCACAAAGAAGGTCAGGGCTAGGAAGTACAAGTTGGTGTCTACAAATATCCCTTTCACTTCGTCAGCATCTTTTTCTGAAAACCCTGCCAGGAGAAAGACACACATCCCAATGCAAAGCCATTTGTGAATGTACAACATCTACACTTTGCTAGCAGCAAAGTTTTTTGACTGAGAAGGTGGCGCTTAAAGCATTATTTCTGAATACAGCCTATTTTCAAATAATCCACGAGGTCATTTCCAAGGAGGAAAATGGAGACACCACAAGCAAGGGCATGAACGGCCTATGCCAGGAGGCGTGGAGTTGCTCGTGAATAAAGGGAGTAACCACGGAGTAACCCGGCCCGGCCCGGGACACCCACCGAACTGCTGCAGGGAGTACACGGCGTCCTGCATGTGGATCCAGAAGCGCAGGCGCCCCAGAGAGATCTTGTCGTAGCACACGGTGAGCGGCAGCTCGGTGGTGGAGCGGTTGATGACCTGCCACAAGAAAGCCACAGGGGAGGGGGGAGGCCCAGCCATGGGGGAGGGGGAGGGTCAGCCACAGGGAAGGAGTGGGAGTCAGCCACGGGGGAGGGGGGAGGCCCAGCCACGGGGGAGGGGGGAGGCCCAGCCACGGGGGAGGGGGAGGCCCAGCCACGGGAGACGGGGGGAGGCCCAGCCACGGGGGAGGGGGAGGGTCAGGCACGGGGAAAGAGTGAGAGTCAGCCACGGGGGAGGGGGGGAGGCACAGCCACGGGGGAGGGGGGGAGGCCCAGCCACGGGGGAGGGGGAGGCCCAGCCACGGGGGACGGGGGGAGGCCCAGCCACGGGGGAGGGGGAGGGTCAGGCACGGGGGAGGGGGGGAGGCCCAGCCACGGGGGGGAGGAGGCCCAGCCACGGGGGAGGGGGGAGGCCCAGCCACGGGGGAGGGGGAGGCCCAGCCACGGGGGAGGGGGGAGGCCCAGCCACGGGGGAGGGGGAGGCCCAGCCACGGGGGAGGGTCAGCCACGGGGGAGGGGGGAGGCCCAGTCATGGGGGAGGGGGAGAGTCAGCCACGGGGGGGGGGGGGGGGGAGGCCGCCGCCACAAAGGACCAAGGGCTCAGCCACAGGCTCTCAGGCAGCCCGTAGCCGTGCACAGCGTCTCCAATGCCCCATAACTCCCTGCTCGCTCTTGGTCCCAAACAGCCATGGCCAAGGCACCTGAAAACACTGGCCCCTCTGGGCCCTGCCATTCCAAGGGCTCTGCAGGATCCAGTCCGCCCCAGGGCTGGTCCCTTGTCCTGAGCTTTTCCCATGGGAGGTGGGCTCACGGGCTGCCATGTCCTCTGGACAGGGTCCTGTGGTACCACCCACTCACAACCCTGCTGACTCCAGTACCCCGCCCGCCTCCCCAAGACCCCTGCGGTGAGCTCACCCGTGCGCAGCACCGCTTGGAACCCAGCCCGGGCCTGCCGCCCCAAGCTCGTGAGCCAGGGCTCAGGGAGACAGTTCACCACCACCACCACCGCCACCTGCCAGGAACATGCTGGACTGCCAGAGGAGTGGCAGGAATGTGCTGGTTCCTTCTGCCGTGCCACAGGCCTCTCCTCAAGGAGACTTAGACTGTGTGAGGAGCATGCTGCCCACAAAGCACAGCTGTAGAGAGCCGTGACCGCGGGAAGTGGAGCCCTTGGGCCCACAGCCACAGCACCAGGCCCCCAAGCACCATGGCGGCGAACAACAGGCCCCAAGCACCATATTCCAACTAGGGTGACCTGCGTGCAGGGTGCTCACTCACGCATTGTGCTCACACACTCCATGGTCTTGTCAGTGAGAGCAGGCAGGGCGCTCACTCATGCACTGCGCTACATACTCCACAGTCTACTCACACACTGTGCACACACTCCAGTCTACTCACACACTGTGCACACACTCCATTCTACTCACACTGTGCACACACTCCATTCTACTCACACACTGTGCACACACTCCATTCTACTCACACTGTGCACACACTCCATTCTACTCACACACTGTACACACACTCCAGTCTACTCACACACTGTGCACACACTCCAGTCTGCTCACGCACTGTGCACACACACTCCAGTCTGCTCACACAGTGCACACACACTCCAGTCTACTCACACACTGTACACACTCCACAGTCTACTCACACTGTGCTCACACACTCCAGTCTGCTCACACACTGTGCACACACTCCAGTCTACTCACACACTGCGCACACACTCCAGTCTACTCACACTGTGCACACACACTCCAGTCTACTCACACACTGTGCACACACTCCACAGTCTGCTCACGCACTGTGCACACACACTCCACAGTCTGCTCACACAGTGCACACACACTCCGCGGTCTCATCTGTGAGAGGAGGCAGGGTGCTCACTCACACACTGTGCTCACACACTCAGCGGTCGGTGAGGGGAGGCAAGGCGCTTACGCACTGCGCTCGCTACACTCCCCGGCAAGAGTTCCCCATCCCCTCAGCGGCCACACAGCTCCTAGCAGCACCTGTTACAACACCCATGAAGTGCTTGGCACAGCACCTGGCCCAATGCAAAGAACGTTAAACATTAACTCGTGCTTTCTTCACCAGATGAAGGCTGACCATCTTCTACGGGAAGCAACCAGGCGTCCCTAGAAGAGGGGCTGTGGCGCCAGTAACGGCACCAGAGCCTCAGGTGCCGCAGTCTTACGCATGTCATGAGAAGAGCTGCAGCTCCCTCTGGCTGAGCCCTGAAACTCATCCCTGGCTGCACTACAGGAGCGGCCCAGGTGCCCCTAAGCGATGGGGCAGTGTGGGCTTTGTGTGCCTGCCAGCTGGCACCTGATACGTGACCTCCCTGGGGGTTTGAGCACCCAGAGCACAGCCGGCAGCAAGGCAGAAACAATCACAGTCAGGGCCTGGCACGCCTACCAGCCCACACACCTGAGAGGACCTGTGTCCCACCGTGCTGAGGTCCCGAGACCACCTCATGGCCCGCCCTGAACCTCGACCTCGCTGGCACAGCAGGCGTGACCAGAGCGAGCTGAAAGAGAGCAGGCTCACCATCAAGTCCTTCACCCGATTGCTCAGCTGGTCAATGAAGAGGATGGGGAGGTAATGCACCGTTGTCCCCAGCTGGACCCTGGAGGAAAAAGCATGAGGCGCCAAGGGCAGCGTCAGACGCTGCTCCTCAGCAGAGACCGGTGCCTGCACTCCCACAACACGGCCTTCCGCACAGTAGCAGGGGTGCTGACACCCTGGGACAAGGTGATCTACAGCGGGGTATGGGAGCCAGGGGCCCATCCAAACCCTGACCGACCATGAGGCCAAAGGGAGAGAAAACCCTGTGCCACAGACCCCAGCCACCGAGGCTGCTGGACAGAGGCTGGAGAGAGATCTGATTTTTTTTTTTTTTTGGCAATTGTGGGGTTTGAACTCAGGGCCTGGGTGCTGTCCCTGGGCTCTTCTGCTTAAGGCTAACACACTACCACTTTGAACCACAGCCCCACTTCCAGCTTTTGGGTGAATAACTGTAGCAAGAGTCTCACAGGGACTTTTTTGCCTAGGCTGGCTTTGACTATTGACATATTTAAAAATAAGACTTGTGTGTATAGTGGCTCAGGTCTGCAGTGGGAGGGGTGACTCACACTTGGGATCTGTCTAGGGTTCCAGTGGGTTCCCTGAACTAAGGATTTCCCCCTGCTGCGGGCTCCAGGGGCAGCGTTCCTCCCGGGGCCCCTCTGACGCTTACATCTTCATGTACCGGTGCACATCCGCAGGCAGTGAGGACCCATCGAAGACGAAGTCATCCACCATCACATTTAGGGTCAGCCTGGGTCTCCAATGAGAGACAGGCTCATCCAGGGCATTTGACGGCTTCTTCTCTGCTTCGATTTGCTGCTATCAACGAGAAGCAGAGGCCACACTGGAGTAGAACACAGTGCGTGGGGAGGACCGGGCACTCTTGTGAGTGCCCAGCCAGATACGATGGGGAGGAAAGCCCGGGGAGCCTTGGGGACCCTGGGTGGCAGGCCAGTTTCTGACCACACTGTGTCTCCTTGCCCCTGGGTACAGAGTCAGGGTCCCACTGACTCCACTTTCATCTCAGGCCAAGCAAGACCACTCCTGTGATCTTGAGGGGTGGAGAGCAGGAGGGGTGGAAGGAGCAGACTGCACCAGTCAGGAGCTACAGCCATGCAGGCTGGGAGGAGACTGAGACACTGCAATCAGAGGGGACTGGCAAAGCATGTGTGCCTAGAATCAGGCACATTCTAGATAAAACTGAAGCAGAAACACCCAGAGCAACCAAAGCATCATACTTTTATCTTAAAACCAACTGATTCTTTAGGAAGCAGTAACACCTTATTTCCTTCCTAACAACAGTTCCCCTGTAACAACTTCCCTTAGGTGAGGTCATCAGGGCAACAACATGCTTTTACTGTAAATCTGCTACATTCCAGAAGCCCCTCCACACACCCACCACTCACTACTCCTCAGGCCACCAGGAGTGGAGGGCCACTCCCAAGGAGGCCAGCAAGAGAGCAGATTGGAGAGGGTTTTTAGTCTGCTCTGAACTCTTAAAGTCCACAGCTGCTTCCTGCAGAGCTGCCATCTTGTTGCGATTTACTCTTCTGTTCAACAGAACCAGAATCAGATTTCCTTTATCAAGGGTCCCCATGAGTGATGCTTTTCTGATTTCTGACTTTTCTTCGCACATTTAAATTTCTATGGGTCTAGGACCTGTACTTTCTCTACAATGCTGAATCATAAACTTAGACATGCTTGCTCACTCACTCCACATACAGTATCGTGTACGTGCAGCCCTAAGTGGCGGATCAGAAGGGAAGGCTCAGCAGGCTGTGCAGCATGAGCCAGACTGGGAGGAAGCGCATGGTACCTCCAGCACACAAAAGGTCTGTTGCCTGAGAAGGAATGGGGTAGAGTGAGAAATCATCACACATCCTTGGTTTGATGTGATACGTATCTGCAAGCCCTTGGGAAGTCGTTCAGATGAAAGGTATCTCTGTGAGCAGCACCCTCAAACCCTCTGAAGCCTCCACACAGGCTATGATGCAGAGACATGCACGTGCAAACTGTGCAGATGGTGTGAACTGGATGTCAGTCACCTGTGTAGAACCTCACCTGAGCAGCAGACTCCCCAGTGAGTAGGTTGATCTCCTCTGGCTTGGGGATCATGTAGGTGGTCAGAGGGCTGACCAGGTGCACTTGCTTCCCATCATGCCACGGCAGAACCCCAGCATGATGCAGGAAAATATATGCATACAGCGTCCCATTGTTTCTTGTTTTCTTTGGTACAGAAACATTAACTGTCCTAAAAAACAATCATTTCGAATGTACGTGTTACTTTAATTCTGTACTATAAACATACAGAGGCAAATCAAATCTCTTCCGATAATGCTGTTTCCCATCATCTGCCTTTAGCACAGAGCTACTAGAAATGAAACCCACCTGCCTGTGACTTTACTGAGGCTGAGCATGTGAAAATCGTAAATAGCTGTCATGGCGAGTAAGCCAATACTCCATGTCTCCATTTTGCAATGGAGAGGACAGAGGAAAATAACTCGCTAAAAAAGTTAGGCAGAAACAAGTCATCAAGAGACAGCTGATTTCTACAGCACAAGAAGTAATCCAGCTCACAAGTTTCGGCACCCTGGCACAACTCTGCAATCACCAATGTATGCTGTAAGTGCTTCTTTGGCACTGTGAGGAAGAGCAGCAATACTTATGTGGGTGGCTGTTTGGTTTCTGTTGTATTTTTAAAGAAGAGGTGGGAGATGACTGGCCACAGAAGAGTAACTTCAGATTTCTGGTTGGCCCTGTTGTATTTTTAAGGAAGAGGTGGGAGGTGACTGGCCACGGCAGAGTAACTTCAGCTCTCTGGCTGGCCCTGACTGTGGTGGCCTCACCAGCTGGTGCTTCTCCCAGATGTCAGCCAGGTGCCTGGCTCTTCACTTCCACCCCACAGCTGGAGCTCCTGTGAACCCCCCCACATCCCACCTGTGTACAACTATAAAAGTGCTTGCTCCTCCCTCTTCTACAAACCTTACAGGCAGAATTCTACACAGAGAAACATAGGTTTCACACCACCACACCAACAGGTCTACTGGGATACCAGTGGCTTCTGTCTGTGGGGCTGGGGTGGAGAGGGGTGCTAGCTTTATACTGGTGTCTCTGAGAGCACAACTGAGGTGTGCCGAGGCTCAAAGCAGCAGGTGCCTGTCCCAGGAGCACTCATGCTTCTCTTTCTTCCAGGCCCAGAAATAAAATGCTCACTAGCTGTCCTCAGTAACTGGCACAGGGCCCAGCAGTGGAAGCAGTATCCACATCTGTGAGACTGAACCCAGTGTGGGCCTGTCCTGAGCATTTCTGAACTGTGGACAGCAGTATATGAAGGAGGGAACCAGCACTTCCCACCTCTGGTTCCTAAGGTAACGTGCCCAGCTCCTGGGCTCTGTGGCTAGGTCAAAGTAGTGCTTGGACTGGCCAATATGCTTCCAGCTGGGCCAAGGGGTTGGCTCACTGGAGGTCTGCGGCCTTCTGGGCAGTGTGGATGAGAATATGTAGAATCTTGACTCATAAAGCAGTACCTTTTAAAATTGTGTCTCAAATTTTTGTTTGTTTGTGGATTTGAACTCAGGGCCCAGACACTGTCCCTGAGCTCTACTACTTGAGCCACAGTGCAACTTCCGGTTTTCTAGGGGTTAACTGGAGGTGGGAATCTCAGACTTTCCTGCCCTGGCTGGCTGAACTGTCAGATCTCAGCTTCCTAAGTGGTTAGGATTACAGGTGTGAGCCACCAGTGCCCAGCTAAAAATTATGTGTCAACTTTTAAAACTGTATGTTAAGTGCTAACCCATATGTTAACCTTAAAAAGTTCCTCTACATAGCTGGGTGCTGCTTGGTCTATTCTAACACCATATACCAATTACAGTTTTCCACCAACTCCTTCCATTGTTCCATTTCTTTCTTTTTGTAGCTTAGGTAGGCTCCTTTGGAGCCCGCACTAACTGCTGAGCACCATCTTGCTGTCAAACACAAGGGGACTCTACCAAGCTGTCACCGCCCCCTGCACACCGTGCCAACCTTGACATTATGGCCCCATCATGACACTTTGACCCCAACTCACACCTTTCAAACTTAGACTGCACATCAAAGTCCTCCACATTCAAGACCAGGTCCACGTTGTTCTCTGCACCCAGGCTGGACCGCGTGGTGGTGTACACGCTCAGCTGGAAAGGAGTGGAAAGTTAGCCAGAGTGGACCAAAACCGCATCCCAGCACGGAGGGCTTCCTCCCAGCCTGGTACGGTGAAGTTCGGGGCCGCCTGGAGCTGGAAGCCCACCTGGACTCCAGGGGTGTCACTGCAGCCCCGACTGGCGGCCGAGGGCCCATCACACGGGCCCAGACACCGGGGAAAGGCGGACCGTGCCGGGAGCCTGTGTCTCCACCCCTGTGTCTCCTGTGTCTGAGCAGGACAGCAGGCCCCGCCGGGCCCGGCGGGGGGGGGGGGGGGGGGGGGGGGGGAAGGAGGGCGCGGCAGGGCCCACGGTGGGGGGGCCGGGGCTGGGCCCGCGGGGGGGGGGGGGAGGCTGGGGCTGGGCCCGTGGGGGGGGAGGCCGGGCCCGCGGGGGGGGGGGGGGGAGGCCGGGCCCACGGGGGAGGGAGGCCGGGCCCCGCGGGGGGGGGGGGGGAGGCCGGGCCCGCGGGGGGGGAGGGGGGTAGGCCGGGCCCGCGGGGGGGGGGGGGGGGAGGCCGGGCCGGGCCCGCGGGGGGGGGGGGGGAGGCCGGGCCCGCGGGGGGGGGGGGGAGGCCGGGCCCGCGGGGGGGGGGGGAGGCCGGGCCCGCGGGGGGGGGGGGGGAGGCCGGGCCCGCGGGGGGGGGGGGAGGCCGGGCCCGCGGGGGGGGGGAGGCCGGGCCCGCGGGGGGGGGGGAGGCCGGGCCCGCGGGGGGGGGGGGGGGGAGGCCGGGCCCGCGGGGGGGAGGAGGCCGGGCCCGCGGGGGGGGGGGGAGGCCGGGCCCGCGGGGGGGGGGGGAGGCCGGGCCCGCGGGGGGGGGGGGAGGCCGGGCCCGCGGGGGGGGGGGGGGGGGAGGCCGGGCCCGCGGGGGGGGGAGGCCGGGCCCGCGGGGGGGGGAGGCCGGGCCCGCGGGGGGGGGAGGCCGGGCCGGGCCCGCGGGGGGGGAGGCCGGGCCCGCGGGGAGGCTCGGCTCGGCCCGCCGGCCCCGGCGCTCACCTGCAGCTTGGGCCGCCGCGCCAGGTAGGGCTGGATGCAGTTGGCGGCGCCGGCGCACGGGCGCGTGTAGACGATGCCGTACATGACCCAGCAGGTGTGCACCACGTACACCACGAACACGCCCACCACCAGGCTGGTGAAGGAGCTGCGGCCGCTCCACATGGCGCCGCCGCCCGCGGCCCGCGCGCCGCTCACGCCAGGGGCGCCGCGCGCCGCCGCCGCCACCGCGGGGAAACGAACGCGCTGCGCGCCGGCCGCCCGCCGCCCCGCATGCTCCCGCCGCGGGACTCGCCGGCGCCGCGGGACTCGCCGGTGCCGCGGGACTCGCCGGCCGCCGCTGCCGGACACCCGCGCCGCCGCCGGAAGTGGGCGCACACGCGCGGCCTCCTGGGAACGGGGGCTCGGCGCCGCTGCGCACGCGCACTCCAGGGCGCGGCGGTGACGCCACTGGTCGGCGCCGCTCTCCCGACATGCCCAGCGGCGCGCGACGGCGCCGTTCCCGGCGGGCTGCCGCCGACCGGAGCTGGGCGGGGAGGATGTCCGGGGCCGGGCCGGGCTCGGCTCTCCCGCCCCGGGGTGAGCAGCCAGGCGCCTCCTGGCGTCCCGCCGAGCCTGGGAGAAGCCCGCAAGACAGCCACAGACGCACGCCGGGCTGAGAGGCCGGGCTGAGAGGCCCGGGGGCCCGGTGAGAGGCCCGGGGGCCCGGTGAGAGGCCCGGAGGCCGGGCTGAGAGGCCCGGGGGCCCGGCTGAGAGGCCCGGCTGAGAGGCCCGGAGGCCCGGCTGAGAGGCCCGGGGGCCCGGTGAGAGGCCCGGAGGCCGGGCTGAGAGGCCCGGGGGCCCGGTGAGAGGCCCGGAGGCCGGGCTGAGAGGCCCGGGGGCCCGGCTGAGAGGCCCGGAGGCCCGGCTGAGAGGCCCGGGGGCCCGGCTGAGAGGCCCGGGGGCCCGGTGAGAGGCCCGGGGGCCCGGTGAGAGGCCCGGAGGCCGGGCTGAGAGGCCCGGGGGCCCGGCCGAGAGGCCCGGCTGAGAGGCCCGGAGGCCGGGCTGAGAGGCCCGGGGGCCCGGTGAGAGGCCCGGAGGCCCGGCTGAGAGGCCCGGGGGCCCGGTGAGAGGCCCGGGGGCCCGGTGAGAGGCCGGGGGCCCGGAGGCCCGGTGCGGGCCTCGCGGCTGAAACCCGCGCTGGCGACGACGTGGATGGCGTGGAGAACGCCCCGTTGCCGCGCGGGTGGCCCGAGGGAGGAGTGTTCCTGAGTCTGAGAAGGAGCAGGGCCGAGGAGCCGTCAGGTCCTGCGCAATACCGAGCCGCTGTGCTTGGTGCGTTTCCCGCCAGCAGTGTCCCCAGAGTCAGGACGCCCGCGGAGGCACGGTGGAAGCCGGCCGAGGCCGTCCCGTCCTGGACACGAGTGGAGCCCGACCAAGGGGCCACAACCCAGTTTCAGCTGAGAATGTGCCTGGAAGCGGGGTGGAGAGAGGCGGGCGGCGGGCAGACGGGGCGCTTGAAGAACAGCCGAAGAGAATGAAATGGTACCCCGTGGCTTTGCAGCCCCTTTCTGAGGCCTGCTGCCTCCTTATCTTTAGGGGTCACAGGACCCAACAGACTTGTCAAACCTTTGGGCATCGCAGCAGGAGTGCATCTTTGTCTCTTGCACCCCGAAAGACCCCAGCATCATCCCCAGACTAATGCGAGTGAAGGTTCCGTGAATGCTAGACAACCTTGCCAGGCAGGGGCCTCCGGCCCGAACACCGTGCATGCAAAAGCTAGTCCTGCAGACTTAAGCAGGACCCTCTGCGAGTTGCTCAGGAGCCTAAGGGGGGCTGAGTGCATCAGGGTCAGCGTCCCTGCCACTGGGTTGTTGCCCTTTGGTCAGGTAACACTCGTGTCTGTTGTCTGGATGGTTCCCCGAGGGAGGAGTCGCCTGTGAGTTGAGCAGAGGCTACAGGAGTTCTGCCACGGGTGGCGCTCTGCTTGTGTGGGGTCTGGGGCCCCGCGGGCAGCCGCGGCTCTGCCATGACAGCATGTGGCAGCACTTGAAAGATGACTGGAACAAGCGTGAATCTTGACAGACACCCCTTGGAAAGCATCAGCTGCTGATGCGGTCATGGTCTCCAGAAGAGCTCCTTGAATTCTGTTCCCTTCACATCTCAGCCTGGTAGTGGCTGTTCACTCAGTCCCTAGAGGCCTGTGTTCAGAGTTAGCTGGACCGGGCTCTGTGCTGGACAGCTGGGTGCAATTCAAGGTCAGGTAGCCGTGACTGCTCAGGCAGCAAGAATTGTTTGTCCTGTTCCCTGTGCAGGCTTCAGCCTCCTGAGCTCACCCTGGCCTCACTCCAACCACCCACGGTGCATGTCTCTGACATCACCACTAACAGTCTCACCAGACTTGTTACGGGGTTCTCACATTTAGGCTCACAGAGCTCATCCACAGATAATTAACCTCAAATGCCTATCACTTCCATCATGTGAGGGTCCTCAGGCCAAGGAGACCATTTGTGGACTGTCCAGAACGTTATAGAAAAACAGGTGAAGCAGCCAGGCCTGCTGACAGGCTCAGCTGGCCGTGGTGCACTGCAGGCTTTCAGGAGAGAAAGGTGGAGCTGTACCCTGTTCACTTAAACTCTACAGAGCCTCCGGCCTGTGGACATGGCATCCAAACTGGGTTGCCTTTAGCTTTTGTCTGTTTGGGCCTTGGGGCCCATCTACTACTCTGAGGTGCCCCGCACAGCCTTGGGGGGGGGGGTGGCCCCTATCAGGCCAGTGCTGCAGGACAGAGGCTGCCATTTGTGTCCTCCCCAGAGGGTTGCAGTCAGATGAAGAGGGGGAGGTGTTGAGCACTGGAGCCGGTGGCCTTCCAGATATCCGGGGTTTGATTTCTTGGTTCCACTGGTACAAGCAGTGCAGCGTGGATGCCACCGGTTCCCCCCTCGATGGTCTAGTTCTGCAGGAAGAAAATTGATGAACACAGCCTTGTTATTATCTTTAAAAATAATAATAATAAAGCCATGCCAGCCTCTCAGAGTTAGCAGTACAACTTAGTGCTGGGGGCATTATCATTGCCTCAAGAAACCTATTTTTTCTCAAACAAATGACAGGTGATCTTCTCTAGGCCACATGGGGAGCTGAGCAGCTTCTGATGGCTGACGAGCTCATGGGGGATAGCTCTCCCTGGCCAGCGGGGAGAGGCCATTCAGCTAGGCCATGTCCCCTGCCTTCCCTGAGTTCCAGCTCTGCTCTGGCTGTCACCTCGAGACCTAAACGAGGGCTCAGAGCCCTTCCCCAGCCAAGAAAAGCCACCATAGGTTGAGAGGGCCAGGCCCCCAAGAGTCCCTCTGGCCTCCTCTTGAGCTGGTTGCAGGTGTGTTCAGGCAGCAGGGCTCCTGAGTCTCAGGAAGGCTGCCCCGCACAGGGGATGGTCCAAGAGGAGCAGCACCAGGTAGTTCATAAAGAGCCGTCACCACATGGTATCCTCGACCTGGGATCCGTTCATAACAGTTCAGTCAGTAGGAATTGAGTGGCCTCAGCAGCAGAAGTACAGGCTACGCCACCGTGCAGGTGGAGAAACAGGCAAGTCACCAGGGGCTGGGTTCATGACTCCACAGAAGCGTGTGAGAGCTGGATTCTGGGTTCCTGGCCTCCTGGAGGGCATGGGACTCAGACCTCGCAATGAGAGGGTGCAGTCAGCTGACAGGGAGGGGCCTTGGGCCCCGTGGCTCCTGCAGAGACTGGAGGACCCAGCAGGTGTGGCTTGGACCATGGCCGCCAGGATAGGGCCCCTCCAGTGTGCATCTGGGGAAGCAAAGGGCTCTGGCCATCCCCTCCTCCACCCGAAGTCTGAGACACAAAGATAAATGGCCCAGCTCAGGTCATGCAGCCTGACCCCACCCAACAATAACTGTGCCATAATTATGAGGTTGCTTGTGGGGACGGGAGAGAGAACTGTGCCAGGAGGACCACAGCCGCAGTCTCCGGTCGAGGTCTTCAGCGTGGTGGCTGAGAGGAGGATGAGAGGTAGGAGACGGAAGGGTTTGGAGCAGCATGTGTGTCAATCCGAAGAGCCAGGCTTGCCGTGTGCCCCCGGGCCAGGCTGGGCTCCTGGGACTGACTCGGTGCCAGGCAGGGGACCACAGCAGGCCCCAGGGTTTGGGCTGTGCACGTAAGGACAATAGGAGGTTTTTCTTTTTTGGGGGGGAGGGAAGTTAAATAAATTTTGGTAAAACGTTAACAGTTATGTTCAATGTCTTCTGTAAACAGAAAAGAAATGTAGGAGGTAAAATAATAGGAGGCTTTTCTTGAGCACAATTCAGTTCTGGGTCCACAGAAATGAGAAGTGAGCTGATTGCCTTGCTTCCGTTTGAGCTGGTAGATGAAAGGATGAAATATGAAAGTCACCTTAAGCCGGGCGCTGGTGGCTCACGCCTGTAATCCTAGCTACTCAGGAGGCTGAGATCTGAGGATCGCGGTTCAAAGCCAGCCCAGGCAGGAAACTCTGTGAGACTCTTATCTCCAATAAACCACGAGAAAACCGGAAGTGGCGCTGTAGCTCAAGTGGTAGAGCGCTGGCCTTGAGCTGAAGAGCTGAGGGACAGCGCCCAGGCCCAGAGTTCAAGCCCCATGACCGACCAAAAAAAAAAAAAAGATTATATTACAAAATAGTTCATTATAAACCTGCCACTCAGTTTAATGACTGGTTTTTGTATTCATATCTTTTTTTTTTTGTCAGTCATGGGGCTTGAACTCAGCCTGAGTGCTGTCCCTCAGCTCTTCAGCTCAAGGCTAATGCTCTGCCACTTGAGCCACAGCACCACTTCTAGTTTTCTGGTGGTTTATTGGAGATAAGAGTCTCACAGAGTTTCCTGCCTGGGCTGGCTTTGAACCATGATCCACAGATCTCAGCCTCCTGAGTAGCTAGGATTACAGGCGTGAGCCACCAGTGCCCTGGCTTGCATTTATTTTTTTAAACCAGTTGGTATAAGGAAGTAATACTTTTAAAAATTTTAAAAAGGAAGTAATACTTCTACATCTCACTTCAGAACACTAAGATGATGTTAAAAATGTGTAAAAAGCCGGCATCATGTTTCTCAGAGGGTCACGTGACCCGGGACCTATTTTCTGGCTGAAAGCAAGCAAAGATGTACTGGGCTATGTCCCCCAAGACCAGGCCCTGAGCTCAGTGTTGGGGATACCCCGGACTCCAAGAAGTCAGCACCAGGCT